AGTTACTCCCAGTTACACCACGCAGTGGCTCGCGCTGAGTGCATATCGCTGGGAGACTGTATCGTGAGTCTGTAATGCGGTTTGATTTCCAGCGAGGTCTCCTTCCGGTGTCGTGTGGCGTGGATGTGGCGTGGCGTTTGTGGTGGTGGGTATGGAGCACGTCAGAGCAGGCATGCAGGGCGAAGGAAGGATTGGATGGCCGTCAAGTTTTTCTGCGTGATGTACGTGCGTGATGAATTGTATGCCAATCATTATTGCATTCCGTCGTGAACGTTAAGTGTAGACCTTGCGGAGGCTGGGCGAATCCGAGTAGTCTGTTGGGTACACTCTCGAGGCATTTCTGGTGGAGGACAAATTGTGTGATCGATCAACTTTTGGGCTAGGTCCACTAAGGGACCTCCTTCGCGCCGTCTACCACCAGGTGGCGGACGGCCGCCCACCCGGCGATGCAGCGGCAGAATGCACCCGAGCAGGTGCAGCAACGGCTGGCGGCCGGCCAGTCGATAATTGTCAAGTTCAACAACAGACCTCTCCCGGGAACTTAAACCCCCAGCCTGGTGCAAGCGTAGCACCCGTGCATGCTCATATAAACAGCAGAGCCGTAGCGACCACCTCATCGCTTTCGGGACCATTCTCACGCATTAGGAGGCGCCGCTTCGGCTGGATTGCTCCAAGTCCAGTAAGCGACCTCCCTTCAGGCTACGCCTCAAACCAGCCAAAACCGTGCAAACATGGCACGTGTGAACGCATGTGACACATGGAGCCTTGTGTCGACGATGCTGTCGCCTTGGGATTGCAGATGTCAAGCGGTCTCCATGGCTGGCGACCGGCGGGTCGAAAATTAAGTCCAACAGCGGACCTCGCGGCAAATTAGGTGCAGGACCGCCCAATCTGGTGCAAACATAGCACGAATGCATGCATGTTTAAAAAGCAGGGCTGTAACGACCGTTTCATCGTTTTCGGGCCCAATCTCACACATTAGGAGGCGCTACTTCGGCTAGATTGCGCGAAGTCCTTTAAGAGACCTCCCTGCAGAACGGATGCAACACCAGCCAAAACGGCGCAAAGGTGGCGCGTGCGCACACATGTGTCATACGGAGGCAGGTGTCGGCCATTTAATGTCTTTGGTAGCCGGCTTTGTTAAGCTTCTCTCTTCAACTGTTCTAAGTGGCAGACGGTCGCTCGGTCGAAAATTGTTTCTAGTCCAACAATGGAGCTTCCCACAAGTTAGTTGAAAGGCCACACAACTGGTACAAACGTAGCACATGTGCACGTAGATGTTCAAATTCCAGAACTGCAGCGACCGTATCATCGTTTTGAGTCCATACTCACGCATTATGAGGCGCAACTTTAGCTGAATTGCTCTAGTCCAGTAAAAGAACTCCCTGCAGGCTAAATGCAAAACCAGCCAAAACAGCGCAAGCGATGCACGTTTGCACTTGTATGAAATATGAAGACATGTTTTGGTTGTTCTATCGCTTTCTGGGATGACATTGTTCTGTTTCCTTTTTAAGAGTGCTCGAGTGACAGGTGGCCGCTCGGTTTAGGACCAACGCACATCCAGCAACACATCTCGCTGCAGGCGAGATGCGAAACCTCGACAACTCACAATAGAAAGACTTCTGCTCCCTCTCCCCACCTTCACCACCACTGAGAAGAAATGGCCAAGTCCCGCGTAAATCACGGTGGCGGCTTTGAGAGAGCGGAAGTTCTCAGATTTTTTGCGGTTCAACCTCCAAACACTCAATGCAAAATTTTGTTCCTGCAGATTGCTGGAGAAAGCCGTCTTTTTTACCACATACTGGAATTTTATAACCGCCTGTAGCTGTAGCCAATTTGGATGGAATCCGCCTCCTCCCTGCCAACGCCAGCTTTCCCAGAAGTGTGTGGGGAGGCCTTTCCGGTCCCTGGCGCACCGCTCACCTGGACGCCACCTGGCGGTGACCTTGGCCGGACGGCCGAGGTCACCGATAGTTGACACTCGAGCTCGGTGGCTAGCCCCAGGGGTGTTACTTATCGAAATCGGGTTGTGGAGGGCTCAACCAATAAGGTTGACTAAACCTACCCCAAAACCTGATTTATCTCCCCACTTCAACCATTTAAATTGTTTTTCCCGACGTCAAGGATCATTGTTTTCATCGCCCGATATAATCTTTGCAAAACATGATCTCCCATTTAAAGCCAATGTGGTATTGTGGAGTTGTAACAAGTTTATTATTGACTGTAGTCCAGAGGAAACATCTTAGTAAGATTGTTTGATATGCTCGCCGGAAAAAGGTCTCGTTTACTGATCACGGGCGGCTAACCGAGCGCATCAAGACCTTTTTATCCTGAATAGATTTGACAACGACACTCTATGTTCTATCATCAAAGCGTCAGACTGGTTGGCACGTGTCTCCATATGTCATGCGTACCACGCTTCTGCTGTTTTGGCTGGTCTAGCATCTAGCCTGTACGGAGGTCCGTTACTGGACCTGGGGTGATCCCCGGCCACGTGGCCGCCCAGGCCACTTTGATAACCTAACGGCGCATCAGCGCTCATAACTGGGGCCGGCACGAATGGCCTTAGCTCATCTATCACCGGTGATTGTGCATAGCCGTGGCGATGCACAGTTCAGCTTCTGTAGTCGGTTTTCGCCACCCCTGACCAATTTCGGCAGTGTTCGTCCGTGCCGCTCTGTGACATTGTTATCAGGCCTGGTGGTGACCTGGCTAAATGCCTGGCTACATGTCTGTGGACGGTGTACATCTTTATGTTCTTGTACTGCTGCATAATCAAGATGTCTTTGGTCAGCAGAAGCAAGTTTGTGTGCTATGCACTGACTGCGTTTCCGGTAAGACAATGGAATGTGAATTGAGTGAAGACGAGGAAAAATGAGAATCGTAGCATAGCACGATTAGCTTTAGATGCTATCGACACGCATCATGCATACTTGTGTCTGTGGTTTTGGCCGCATTCAAGCATCTATATGGATCCTAGTTTGCATGTAGCTGTATCATCAACTGGATTCGGTACAGAGTTTTGCAAACACCACTGAATATTTTCATCAACATATATTGCGCTGACCGAAACGTCTGATTTCAAAATACACCACCATCTTCAAAAATGCATGATCTCATGTGATTTTGGATGGAGAGGTGTTAAATGTGGCCAGCAGCCGCATGCCTTTGCATCAGCACCACTTGATAAATTTCAATAAACAGTTCAGCACAGTCACTTGTGCGGCATTCTCACACCTCACAACAACAATGAAGCAATGGGTCCAATTGCAAAGCAGGTGTGGTTTTCTTCGACTCCCAACTTGGGCGTCAGCCCCTGCCCCCCCCCCCCCCCCCCTAAACTTTGAGAAAAGGCTTGGTCAGATCCGGAGAGTAATCCATTTGCTGGCATATCTTGGGGTAGGTTCTGTTGTTTTTCAGTGCCCAGCCCCCCCCCCCAAGTTTAACAGGGACACAGTTTTGCAAAGCTATGCCACTGCTGCAGGCATTTCCTCTTGCATCATGGCAACCCCGCAAAGGATGCTAGGAACAGTCTGAGAATATTGCATTTTTAGTTCAATGCCAGACAATAGGACTGATGACGATTTTTATGCAGTTTCTTTACTCCAATTTACATTACTTAGTAGACAGATTGGAAAGACCCCTCCCCTATTGACAAAGCTGTTTCTGAATTAGATTTTTCATCAAAATCAAGGGTGGTTCTAACGTCATCTCGGGCGAAGACTGAACTGGAAATCACCTCCTCACGTGGTGTGGTCTAAACTCTCGGAAAAAGTTAGAATACTGTTAGCACCTGACATTTAAACAGCGTCCAACTTTGCTCAGGAGTTCAATACACAACCTCACAGCCTGAGTCTTGTTCCTCACTTTCAGTACCTGTATCACACAGGCATTTAAGATGTACGCACTTTGTATTGTCAAAAATAAGAGTAACAAAACCTATCAGGGGTGGAATGAGTGATTTCTTTCAAAAGAGGGTTGGGTAGCAAGCATGGCTCAAACACCCCGGATCAAGAAAAAATATTAGCATTTATGCATTAACACATTTACCTTACTCACTCCCAGCACAATGCCTGGTACCAACATACCTCCAATGAAACTTGCATTTCGATGCCAAACAGCCCTGCTGAAAGATCACTCTAGACGTGAAGTGAAGCTTTGAAGTGAGGCTTTGGAGGCGTTCAAATGGAGAGCAGCATGATTGCGTACGGGCAGTTTCAAGCCATTTCCAAACATCATCCGCCGTAATACTCAACTGCTGCGGGAATCGGGTTTGTATTCATGCTTCGGATACGACAGGGAACTCAAGGACATAGCCATGGATCTTGCGGTCCAAATCAAAGCATGGTTTAATCGGCGTTGTCAGTGAATTACAACGTCAATGTTGCACTAGAACTAAACAATCATAAAGCCTCCCTTGTATAAGTATTCTTTCTAATACTGTCTTTGGAAATAATTACAAATGTTCTTGAGTGCCGAGCAAATGAGAATGGTTTAAGCACACCCCAACAATATAAACAACCATGGCTCAGCCAGCACCCAACGCGCTCGCCCGATACACGCTGTTGATTGTCATGCGTAGTACCTTCCTATAATTTGGGTGAGCTGAAGGCATTAGGTGAAGAAATATATATAAAGGGCCTCGCTCAATTGAACAAAGCTTATGCTTAGTCGGCTACACGTGGTTTACTGTTTGTGTGCTCATGACATTCCATGCAAGCAATCTTTTTCATGTCAGGGGGTTTAATGTATACTAACACTTTATAGAAGCATAAAGAATACGAAAAAATCAGTGCATTGATCCATTGTGAACGCGGCTTGATGGTGTAATTCGTCTCATCCGTAACTCGTAAACCATTGGTTTCAGATGTGCCAAGTCGCAAATGCGCCTGCCGCAATCAGCTCGTGTCTGCGCTCGTATTTTCGCTTTTGTGGTCTGTTTCTCACCTAATCCTGACCGTTGGCGTGCCTGGATCACCAGTAGAGGAAACACTGTGGAGACTGTTAATTGTGTTCCGTCGAATGCGGTCGTTTATCTCAAGCCACAACCATTTTAAGATATGTACAGCCGACACACCCGCGAGTTTGTGCAAGAAAGTGCGGAAACAAAACCGATTCGCCGCGTTCGTGCGCACGCTGAATGCCGTAGGTCATACGCTAGAACCGAAAGTAAACATTTGTGGGATCAGACAGTTAAGCGGTCTTTCGTGGTACATCGACTATCTGGATGTAGTTTTCATCGCCCCTGCACTATCTACGAAAAGGCGTTGACGGATGGAACTTTTCCGGAATTCTTCCTGGTCATGGTAGAAGGTCAGGTTTTCGTGGAAGGCGGCAGTTTTGTGAACGTGTGCCATCAGCCGGAACATTCTCGGGAACGGACCTGTTGTCGGAGAAGACGTTACAGCGGGACTACAGCCATTTCAATTATGCTTTCGACGCGTAACCACTGTTCCATCACTGTTGCCTTCTGCAACAACATGCACAAGAACAAAGATGCAAATGGAGTGGTAGGCAGTCTCGAGCCAACGATCCTTGTACAATGTGCCCACAGTTGTCACGGGGTTTCATCACCCTCATTGCACCATCATGTGACATGGTGAAAACAAATCATCCTCACAAAACACTACGTCACACTTCCAGTAATTAGTCATCACAACTGGTCATCTTTCAAGACCTCATTGTCATTTACATTACACTGAGGCAGTTTTCTACAAATCTAGAGGTAAGTAAAGTTTAAGAGAAGTCATTGGAAAGAAGCACTTGGCTGTTTCTGACTGTCGCTGGTTTTGTACGTATCGCCGGTGTTATGTTACGTTAGAGAAATGATAGTGCTGCTATATCAGGTGGCAGCGCTTTGGCCGTAAATGCTTTGTCGGCATCAATACGGCCTCGTACCTGGCGATACCGCGTGTGCGCGTCCCCCGAACTGGCACTCGACAGCAACATAACAAAAAGTATTCCAAATATTGTAAATCCCCAAAGCCCTTACACATCGTGCATGAAGTTGCTCGACATCACACATATATACGCTCATTAAAACACAGGTACTTACTCCGGTTCAGCAGGGCAAGAGATAGAGTGTGCGAAGCTCCATGTTTGATGTGTCCTACCACAGTTAATGCTCTTTCTAAGGTCGCCGAGTGATCCATCGTGGAGACTGAAACGAGAGGCACGGCCACCATTCAGACAGCTGAAAAATGCAATGAATCATGAAGTACAACACGGCCATAACGATAAGCTGCGGTCTTGACACCAAAGGAACGAGGAAGAGTTTCCCACGGCATTTGCCCTTCCTGCCTTTCCACGACATCTGTTTTCCTGGGGTCCCTCTGCGGAAGAAAATGAAAGATCAGGATGTGTTTTCCTACATTTAGAACTACTTTTGTGCGCTCTACCAAACCATTACAAAGACTAAACAAAAAGCTCAACCCGACTAAACCAATTCCGGTTATCGTAAACCACCAATACGTAGCCAACGAACATCGCCGAACCTCAAAACACGTCTAAGCCAACAAGCAACCGATCCCACGCCGATGAAGTCGTCCCCTTCAGCACCCGGGCCACGCCCCGCGCCGCCTTGCACGACCGGCTCGACCCTCCCTTCGTCAGACCCGTGACCTGTCCAACAGCAGTCAGACTACCCACTCTGGTGAGCCGGTACGTAAACCAGTAACCGGTCAACCGAATGTCCAATCACTGGTGCCTAAGGTAGACTCAGCGTCCCTCTTCGTGAGCAAAAGCTTGACATTATGTGTCACGTGGCTTTCGCATCCCCTCACGAACAAAATAATGGTATTTCCCAGTTACAGACTGGTGTGTCGAGACCGCCCCGGTGCAACCCGAGGCGTTGTTGTAGCCATCCTGCCATCAAACGTTGGGACGAGGTCACCGGGGTTTGAACGACATTTTCAACCATGTACTGCTCATAGGGCCGGGCCTAGTCGAGCTCCACAAAAAAACGTCAGACACCCCACCCTCGCTCCAATCGCTTGTCATTAGTCTCGGAGGCCATGCTACAAGTGCACCGAAGACGCGATGATCGGATTTGTCATGTCTTATGTCGGGTGGATCCAGGGTACAAGCATTGTTACATCATTAAGAAATATGGGCAAACCCTGACATCAGATCCGTTTGATGTAGTGGAGATGTCTAGGATGGTGGTAGCAGCCAGTGGCATATCTTGGCGACGGAATAAAGATTAAGAGCGTTGAGAATGATACTGAGGTTGAGCAATGAGAACGTTGAAGCTGTCATTGCCGTTAATCATCTGACGAACCAGCAAAAAGTATTTGAATAGGATTCAGTGCGCCATACGTGTTTGCTGTCTCTGATATATTCGGTGTCTGTTCCGCCTTTGGTTGCAAGGGTTGGGAAAGTTTGGTACAACTTGCTGCCAGATCCACACCATGCACGCTCGGAGAAAAACACAGTCACGACGTTGCGTATTTGCGTTGTAACTTTTACAAGCGTCATTCTACGCTACTCCTCATTTCCTGATCCATTGCTGACCTGTCATGCCTACCGTATATCGTAAGGAAGAGCAGAGTGAGGTCCAAAACGTTTTCTAGCCGGCTTTTATTGCTGCGGTAACATTTAAACGCATGCTTACTTGTCGAAATGCTCCTAAATGGAAAGCTAATTACGCAAGATGTTCTTTGTTTCAACGTTAACCTCAGAATTCCTCTTTAGCCGAAATCTTATTTCCCCGAAAGGTTTTGTAATCTCATGCTAATCAAACAAAGATTTCTTAAATGAATGTTTATGGGTCAGGATGTCGTTAACAAGTGGTAGACAGAATCAGCTCAGAGGCTTTGGTTGTGAACTGTAAAACGTGTCACAAGATATTTTCGCTGGGGTTACCATTTCCGAAAATTCGTGGTCTTTCCATTCACATTTCTACACCATGAGGTCGGCGAAAAGACTATTCGTAGAGTATACATCCTTCTTACTGCCGTTTGTCAAATTCACCTTCCGATAGAATTGCATCTGGTTAATTGGTCATTCAGCGCTTTCCAACTTTATAATCGCCCTCCACGTAAGCCCCATTTCGGAATATTGACATTCGACCAATACACATTTCGGGTCACTAATACTTGGCTAATTACTACATCGAGTTTTATCAGCCGCGTGCACACCTATACCTCGTGTTGTTTCCGCCATTTCATAAAACAGTGCAGCCACAATCTGTGCAAAATCTGGGTTTTTGTGTAAGATCGGCATCGTCTTGATTGCAGCTGACCTTTAGCACCTTTAGCCGCCTGTCCGACAGACGTCAGAGGGTTGTGGTTAACGGAAAAACTTCCGATTGGACACTGGTGACCTCCGGCGTCCCGGTATGACCACTCTTGGCTCCGCTCCTTTTTTCATTATTTATTGATGATCTTTCATGTGTCATTGAATCCGGCTGACGTTCGTATGTCGACGGCGTAGTTTTCTCCGTAAAATTCCAGCTAATGGACTGCTGCTGCAGAATGACCTCGATCATCTGGTAGCGTGGTCGGTCAGGTGGGGGCTGACCCTCAGCCCTACAAAATGTAAAACGTTCACGATGACATTCAGGCATGCTTCCGTTCCGACCAAGACTTATATTAATAGAAGTGAGCTTAAACATGTGTGCAAAATCAGGGATTTTGACGTAATGCTGGATACCAACTAACATTCGCTACACATGTCTTCGACATAGTCAGTAGGGGAAATCGAGCACTTAGTCTCCTTATTCCGTCCTTCTTAGTCGGTACCAGCTGGTCAAAATTCGACCGAAGCGCTGTGGTGGCCGCGTATTTTGCAAACGTTTGATCGGTTTTAGCATATTCCAGCCTGGTCCGGACAGGGCGGCCAATACCCACAGAGTACGGGTCGATCGAGTGCAGCACAAGTTTCGTATCTGGTTACTCGCTCACATTCTCCGGGCGAGCAGCTTCTCTTTCTTATGACAAACTCCTGCTTTATTTCAAAATCACATCCTTAGCAGCACGGAGGGTGCAACACGATTTACTCTTTCTGGGAGACATCTCCCGGGGCGAGTACCGCGCAGTTGTATACAAAGAGTACAGAGCGGTGTGTTTTGCTGACTGCCAAGCGTTGGGAACACTTTCTTAGCGAGCAACGCCAGCGCGGATATTTTTCGCGATAGTTTTGGCATTTTTAAAGGTCAAGTGATCAAGTAAATTTTTAGTCTGCAGCATCATCACTCAGCTAGAAAATGTCATCCTTAAACAGGCACTCGGGTGGAGGATCAATTTGCCCCTCCCCCGAAGGTTTCTCACAAAGCACTTTTCGAAATGCGCCTCGTAGCTGCACCAAATTTTGCATAGCTGTAAACAATGGAATGGCGGATCGTCTTGCATACAAATTTAGATGTACCTTGTAAGGCCACTGAATTATGGCGGGTCAAAGTCAGGCCATGGATTCAGGGAAGTGAATTGTTAGCGAATTCTTCAATCTGCTGCGACAGCGAAGTGTTAGACGAAGCCATACATCTCTGAAATACTTTCTTAGGCAACACAACAATCGAATGAACAAATTACATTGACCTAAGGCCAGGCATCAAAGTCACACCAAGTTAAAAAATAGCCTGTTTTATTGGTCTATGGTTTGCTGTATGAGCTGGTTTCTGGTGCTCATTTCGAATTTATCGAAAGCAAGAGCCGCATTATAAATCTTCCCCGGACTTCTTAAAGATCGGAATAAGCCACTGACCCCAAACAACCCAGGTAAACATTTTCTTTTAAACACATGCTGCCTAACGTAATTTTTGTCGCTTATTCAAGTGCAAAATTTAAATCAGTCTTGTATCATTTTGATCACCGTAACCTTCCAAAGATCAAAGAAGATGACTGACGTTAAATGGGCACGTGAACTTTTGCTTAGAACAGGTGTCTAGGCTTTGGGTCACTTTGGACGCTAACTTGGAGACTGCCTTTTTTGACCTTATTGACCCGAAGGTCATGACCTGGGAGCTTCAACCTTTGACAAAGTGTGTTCACGTACAGGTTTAACACCTTCTGTGAATTTGGTGTCTCTAATTTGGTGTATCTTGCTCTCTTAGTTTCTAGGACCCCAGGGGGTCAAATTGACCCCTACCCCGGCGAAGGGTGTTCAACCGACCACCCGGGCGCGTGTTAGTTATGCTCATGCTACGGTACGTGTGTGTGTGCGTGTGTGTGTGTGTGGTGTGTGTGTGTGTGTGTGTGTGTGTGTGTGTGTGTGTGTGTGTGTGTGTGTGTGTGTGTGTGTGCGCGCGTGCGTGCGTGCGTGCGTGCGTGCGTGCGTGCGTGCGTGCGTGCGTGCGTGCGTGCGTGCGTGCGTGCGTGCGTGCGTATGTGCGAGTGTGCGTGTGTGTGTGTGTGTGTGTGTGTGTGTGTGTGTGTGTGTGTGTGTGTGTGTGTGTGTGTGTGTGTGTGTGTGTGTGTGTGTGTGTGTGTGTGTGTGTGTGTGTGTGTGCGTGCGTGCGTGCGTGCGTGCGTGCGTGCGTGCGTGCGTATGTGCGAGTGTGCGTGTGTGTGTGTGCGTGCGTGCATTGCATTTTAAGTGACTTCGCCTGTTGGGGGAGTGCTGCTCTATTGGCGATAAAAGAAAATAAAGGAGTAAACAAATAAACCTTGTGGACAAACCACCCCCCCCCCCGTCGAAATTTCTGGATCTGGTCTTGCAGTGACCCCCAGCGAACAGTGTCCAAAGAAGGTAGTCTTTGAGTGATGGCCAACTTTCCCCTATACTTGTGCTATATTCGAGCCAGAAGTATCGCGAGGGGGCAAGCCAACGTTGGGGGCTCACACAAAAATACTAATCGACATCCGCGCATGACGGCAAAGACCTTCCGCTCTTTATACCCAGCAAAGTGGCATTCGGTTAAACATAATTCCGCATTCCACCCTGGAGCGACACTGCCGGGAGTGCATGGCAGGGAAAACGCTTGTCAGCAAAGCTAGAAAGAGCGAACGCGAATTCAAAGAGATGAAAGACTGTGAGCAGCCAGAGCTCTGGAAACAAAGTGTCAAATGTCAGTGACACAGGGACACCAGGTGTCGCGAAGACAATCTGAGACACTAACAATGCGACTGGTAGGTATACATAATGACAGGGTCACTGAACATACTGTGAGAGAAATACATGGATCCAACTTGCAGATATGTTTGGTGTGTTACCATATTAACGCTTAGTTAACGTAATATAACTGACTAAAAATGGGCCGTCCGATATTAGCAGTCTGCCCGCTTGACCAGACAGGAACATGAGTGGCTCTGAGTGTTAACATCGTGCCCTGCAAGCAGACACCTACTTTGCAGCTTTTTCACCCCAAAAGCATATCCTTGCGTTGATCGATGTAGAAAACGGTGCGTTGTAGAGACTCCATGCATACCCGCTTGTCCCGGGCCAATAACATCTGAAATGAAGCAAATGATCATTGACATAGGAGACAATGCAATACGTCCAATCAATTTCACGAGCTTTTGTTTGGGCATGTTTCTCCCCGAAAAGGCTATTAAACAAACACCAATCAGACATAACGTTCTACTATATTGGACCCCACAAAAGTGGGTCGTTATTAACGCATTACGTCAGCCACGTCCCCACGGAGAAATGGATCGGTGACCTGAAGCCCAGAGCAGCAGCTCGTTCTGTCAAAAGTCAGCATATATGGAATGTGATCCTGGGTCACTGTGCTGGATGCCCCAAACCTCCTCACAGACAAGTCGTACCCATACCACATAATACCGCATAGGAAGAGATTACACTCTGCTGCACATTTTTACATGATACGCGCCACGTTGCCTTGAAGGCAGCATTGGTCAGGCAACATCAAATATTTGTCGGCTTAAGGCGCGTCAACCACCCTGGTTATTTGCGGCCGTGTGATCGTCAGTGCTCTTGTCATACCTTTTCCTTTGAATGGTCCGCAGAGCTGACCTAGGTGGTCGGAGCCAACATATGCTTGCCTTGCAGCATCCGCAGGACAGGTGGCAGGTAGTGGTACTCTTCCGATGAGTTTACCCATCGATGTTGACAACGCAGAGCAAATGCAATGGCCGCTGTGAATATAAACGCGAAATGAGTATTACGTGGATACTATATGATGGTTTATCTGGACATTATAGAAACGTGCATTGCCTAAAAACCTCGTTTTTCACCGGTGTCTGTCCTTGAAGGGTACCGTATGGTGCTAAATTTGCACGGATAGGAAAACAATAATTCCATAAGCACAGTAAAGTATCATTTCAGCAAGGTTTCGATCTTCCCGTCGCTAGCAGTCATGATCGTTTTTCCGCCCACTGAGCTGGTCAATGGCTAGTTGGTATTCGTGCTTCAGAATTATCGTCCACGTCATCGTGCAAGATATTACAGAAGTTCGATCAGGCGTGGCATGTTATCTAACACCAAACTTGAGGGATCAATAGTGCACTTCAATCATGAAAAACAAGGACATAGCTTCGTAGGCATTATATTTGCTGCAATTACCACCTAATTTTCGTAAACATACTTATTCACTATATAAGTTGTCGGCGAAGTTTTTGGTCACATCGAACAGCTATTTCTCAGCTGCATAGAGTAAAACTGCCGAAACGCAGTCACGTTGGCTGCCGTAGGTAACCATACTTTTCAGGATGTTGGAACAAGCGTCTTGACGAGAACATTGGCCTGTGATGGGAAGAGTTTAGGGTAATGACATCAGTACAAAGAAGGTGACGACCATAGATCGTCTCGGAATCTAGATGTCTTCAAATTGAAGGGGCCCTCTGGTATTTGTCTTGTCCCAGTATCTGATACATCATGAAAAGCCATAAGGCACTGAAAACCGCCAAACGGGTGCGTTAAAGGAAATGGCTTAACCACCTTTTCAGCGTGCTCATGATTACGATTGTCGAAGTAAACCATGACGGTGTCGGAAACAAAAGTCCTCTAAGTTGAAAAGTGACAATATTTCCGCATCTGGGGTTAACACGCGCCCTCAAAGCAAAACCTTATTCCGCAGTATCCATATGGCCTTACGCTTTCTTTAGTTCTAAATCCGCACTTCGGGCAAACGAATTTACACTTGTTCCAACTAGTACAAGGTGAGAGAGCGCTCTTTTCTCACCGGCTGGATATTGACTCGGCTGGTCTATAAACGACACAACAGCGATGCGCACGCGCACGCGCCTAGATTAACGCTGCAAGCCTCGGCCCGCCCGGGGACGAGTCAGTTGATGGTCCGCCAGATGACCTGACGGGTCAGCTGACCTTATTGTTGCCTTGCAATATCAAAACCCACGACTCCGGTTTAGTTTTTGCCCCAAAATAACACAAGTAATACTTTCACGGCAGGCTGACTGCTCACCTTTGCAGAATGAAGGCAGTTACGTTTTTGGCCAGCTTTGAACGCCGGCAGGCACAGATGCATTCGTTAAGCGTATCTGCCTTGGTCCCTGAGTCTACCCAACCGGTTTCGTTGGCTGTGCCGGTGAAACATTCTCCAAATAGTGATGGCCGTACTGAAAAGTAAATACGAATTAAAACAGACATAGGTGCTGACTGAGTATCCAAACCCTCATCTCCATGTGCAGTCCAGTAAGGTGCGATTTTATGCCCAAAAAGCTCCCTGTTTAGGACAGAACTGACACTAAATGCAACTTAATTAGTCGCACACGAACATTCTCGCTCGTTAAAATTGCTCAATGCTGTCGGCATGTGTATTGGTATATTGGCATCAAAGCCACCTAATTCGTGGGGAAGCTGAGACGTGCTTCAGCGAAGCTGACCACGCGCTATGAGTCATGACGTCACCGGTTCTCACAGTCAACCATGGCGGGAAGAATTAGGGTTCGCTATTCCATCAATCAGCCTTTTTACGACCACGCGGTGACAGCAACTGAAGGTGGAAAATTTGGTATAGCTGATGATGAACGTAAGAATACAAAGTAATCGCACCGCCGGCGCTTCAAAACCAAGCTTGAAGGGACTGTCCGGCATCCGTATGTGGTTTTCAACTGAAATAGCCATGTTAAATATCATTCAGTGCGGTTCAGAGCTCTGTTCTTCTTAAAGCCTAGAACCGTATAGTTTCTGAGCTACACGCCCGCCGAGATATGCAGACTCTTGCAAGGCCATTCGGGCATGCATGACGTCATAGCGACGTCATTCATATCCTGTCTCGCCACTGGTCACGTATCGTTCAAACTCTTACTCAGGCGCGCGGGCGGCGCTTTGGCAAGAGGGCCACGGGGTTGGCAAAAGGCCCCTGGTAGTAAAAGGGCCCCCAGAAAAGTTTCCGGATATGACCCATGTGTTCATGATGGCATGTGCTTATCTGATATCATACATATATATATATATATATATATATATATATATATATATATATATATATACATATATATATATATATGGCCTCGCCCGCTTCTCACCCTGGCAGGGAGGACGGGCATCGCGGGAAATGAACCCCGCACCTCTTGTTTCCCAGACGCGCGGTGGTTAACATAGGCGCGTTAACCACCACACCATCGGCGCCCGACGCTCAGACTCAAACCTTGTCGTGTAATTTATTTCGCTGGTCGATTTTGCAAATGACTGAACATTCTCAAGCAAACATGGGAGAGCCTTGTGCGTTTTCGAACTCATTTCGGCCCACTGCATTCAACGCTAATGAGACCCCTTATTTCCTGGAAAGGGATCCCATTGAGTAGCACACTGCAAAGCACATTACCGTTCCCGGTCAAGGACGCAACGGTCATTCCATTCCGCCGCAGTGTGTCTTTCGGCCATCATTCTGGGGACAACGGGCAGGATCCCCTGGCCGACCCAGAGGCCCTTAGAGGGATACATTACGTCACATTACTCTTCTCCCAGACGCGGGAGGCCTTCTGACCCGCCCAGTTGACCCCAGATCGACGCAGGAGCCCGCGTTGGCGCAGCAACGTCTCTGGTCACCGCAGGTGGTCAAATAATCGGCGCATAGACTCCACTTCGGCTTAACAGGCCCGTGCTGGAAATTGGGTTGGAGGGCCCACCGCTCGGCACGGGGGGCCCTGAATGGCGTAGGGCCCTTTCATTGCTGTAATGTGGGCACCCAACACCAGTTTTCGTGTTTCCTTTCATTGTCAACAGGCCCTGACCAATGCGAGAGGCCCTCTGTCATTCGGGCTCCCGTCCCCGTCCCTGTTGAGCAAATCTTACCCCGACCGATTCATGGACCCTTGTTGACGTCATAAGCTGTTAGGTACTGTGGGCCCCTGAACAATACAGGGGCCCGACCAATGTAAACAGCGGGCCCGGCCTTGTCCCTGCCTGGGAAACGGGCCCCACAGCTCAGACCAACATGAAGCCAACAATTCGTTGTTGGTGATCTCTGGCCGGCATAAAGGAACGCTCTGTCTCAGGGGTCCATATCGGTGCAAGAGGTCCTCTTACTGACATCTGAGATCATGGCACCGCGGGCGGGGTTCCTGAACGTGACCCGCAGTCTGCCATTCGGACCATTTAGCCTTCCAATCGGACCCTTGATCATTGGTCTCGAGAGACCCTTCGGCCCCTCTCCGGACCCCGTCAAACACCTCTCCGACTCCCGGCCACTTGTCGCCAAGGGACCCCTGTTAGGCACTGTGGCCCCTGGCCGACACAACAGTCTCTCACTGTATCAGGGACCCCATACATTGCAAATCGCGGGCCCCAGCCTCTTTCCTGCTTGAGAGATGGGTATTAAGGCTTAGACGGACATGAAGCCGGTTGTTCCGTGTTCGTGGTCTCTAACCGACTTAGACGCCCAACTTGTCTCAGGGTGTCATGGTGTCTTGTCTTGTCTTGTCCCAACTTGTCAAGCGATGCAAGAGGACCTCTGACTGAAATTTCAGGTCACGACCCTACGGGCCACGATTCTTTACGAGACCTACAGCGGGTCATCCGGGGTCTTATACATCCAACTGGGTCTTTAATCGTCGGTTCTGGTGAGCCGCTCCGGGCCCTCTTCGGGGCTCATCGAACACTTTCCTAGGTCGGGCGGGGTCCTTGCGAGCGCAGGACTCTATGTTAGGTGCTGTGGGCCCCTGGCAGATACAAGGTCCCCGACCAGAGTAGATCACTGGCCGGCCTTTTTTCGCTTCTTGGATGGGGGGCCCTCGGGCCCATACCGACACGGGGTCGACTACGCGATACTGGTGATGCCTGGCCGACATATATGGCCATACCAACTCAGGGGTCCCCGATCGGCGCAAAGGACCCTCTGAATGTCATTTGAGCGCCCGTTCCCGCAAGCTGGGCCCCTACATAAGAGTCCGACTAGCCCCTCGTGCCCTTGGATCCTCCAATCGAGCCCTTGATCGTCGGACCCGGCGGGCCCTCTAGGCTCTTCGGGCCTTCTCAGGCACTACCTCTGGCCGACTCGGACCCCTTGCCAACACAGGGCCCCGTTAGTGGCTATAAGGCCCTGACAGACGCTGGGGCCCCGAGCAATGTAAATCGTTTTCTCCGGTTTTGTTCCTGCCTGGGAAATGAGCCCTCAGGCCAATGCCACCACGGAGGCGACTTCGCATCACTGGTGGTGTCTAACCGACATACAGGCCCTTATGGCCTCATGGGGCCTCTAACCAACATACAGGGCTCTCTGGCTGGCATCGGAGTGCCCAGCCCTACGGGCCGGGGCTCTTGAATGCGGCCTTTGGCATGACATTCTGACCCTTAGTCGTTGGTTCCGAGGGCCCTTCGGGCCCCTCAGAACTTAAGGAGGGGGAGGGGCCTGCTCCCTGTTTTCCCTTGCTTGCGCTATTGTTCTCGATTAATAAAGAGCTAGCCGCGCGAACTATAATCTTGAAACACGATCGTGCTATGCAATGTGAGAAATCGGACATTTTTCCAGTTATTACGGGAATGGAACTTGTAATGGAATAACTTACAAGTAACGCCATAACGGAGTGTGCAAATGCAAGGAAACTCCCAAAACTCGCGGGTGAATACGCAAGAACACCACTAGAAGGAGCCAAAACACGAGCCAGTAACGATAGTTGGCTCAGCAAACACTTCCGGCACCATACTGAGATCTTTCGGCGAGTTTGAAGTGAGTGCAAGGATGACAATTTCATGGGCTGATTGGCAGCACCTCAACGTGGTGCAAACGTTCTATAACAATATAAAATGGTCACCTATTGAGGGGCATAGTGACTTCATGAAGAAATTGTATTGTCTCGCGCGGTCTTTTCTACTTAAAGGCACATTAACATATATATATATATATATATATATATATATATATATAAGTCAACTTATTTCATGATCCTGTCGCTTGTCTCTTAAATGCAGAACACTCGTATCAAAGCGAATGTTTCACATTTGAAGATGAGGCACGCATCAGATGTCATAAAAACAAGCTCACTTATAACTATTGGTATAATCTTTAAGCGGAAAAGACTGCTCTGGACAGCAAAATCCTCTGTTTAGTAAATATGCTCCTCAATGCAGCATGGTTTGATTTCTTCATCGAACCGCGTCCAATATTGATTGGGAGTCAGTTGACTGTCGCTATATCTGGAAACCGCGCTCACGAACGCCAGATATGAACACTTCGGCAATTGCTTTTTTGGCCTCGTTCACCGCATGGTTTATGGAATGACAGGATTTGAATGACATTATTATGACGTCTTGAATGCCAAGGTGACTTTGAAATACTCTCCCCGAAATACCTTTCCTCATTTTCGCGAGCGTGTAGCTTAGAAACTAGGGAGGCTTAAGTCTCAAGAAGGGCAGGATCGCGACCAGCACCGAAAGGTTTTCAAGATGGCCATTTCAGTTCAAAATTGCATACATAAATGCGGAACAGTTTTGATATAACCGGTGCTAAGGTTTCATCAGAATATGTTTTTTAAGACATGTTCTAAAGTGAGGACATTTCCTTTAAGACGGTAGGTGGTTGGAAAGTAATCCGTCGCTTTGCGGAGTGGTGAGCGTCCGAACTATGCGGATGAAGCTTTTGCCCGCGTGTGAATCTGGATCATAGTTGTATCATCAATAAGGTGATAAGTCCAGAACGTGCCACTAAAAAATGTATCTACTATGACAAGAGACAATGATTTAGGTCGCCACTCCCCTTCTATCGAGCACCAATGGCCATATCAGCGCTCCGGGAACATGGCGCAAACGGAATTGGAACCCGGTCCTCCACGTGGGAGTCAAAGGCGTTAACCATTCGGCCATGACACCCTCAGAGGAGTCTTCTTGATTGCTTTTAGTTAACAAGGGCAAACAACTACATTTGACGGCAAAATAACAGGCACTCACTGTAGAAAATGTGACCTGCGCTGGTCTCGTTGGTTTGGCGCCAGTCGTCGTTCCTCCGAGCCGTGTTCGCATTGCAGTCACGGAAAAGCATGTCATGCTCTTTCGCTGAGACATCAACGTCATGTTATATTTTGGGACACTTTCGAGGAGTCCTGCATCAAACTAATGTGCTCTGTTGTTAGCCCACTTTGATGCAAACGGCTTGCTAGCATCCGAAGCATGTTTGCAGGTATTGAAAAACTTTCTGGTAGCTTCCCAAATTTGGACAGATTCTTACCTTCCTTAGATCGTTTCGATTTCTTTCATTTCATGCAATAAACGTGGGAAACCATTCTAATAGTCCAACAGATCTGTAGAAAACTGCGCGAAGGCACTCACGTTGAGCATATATGGAGGGATACATGTTTGTATGTGCGCAAAACTGCAAGTGTGCATGTATGTGCCCAGAAACCAAATGTCTAGGTATTCGCATGTGCGACGTAAAAGTTATGCATGCATCGCATACATTAAGGAGTTTGCAAACCACGATTGTGCATACCTGCTTTAAGGCCGCAAATTGTAGTTATGTTTTCGCTTGCCTTTCGCGCTGACGGTGACATCTCATACAGCCGAAAAAGGACACTGGTTGTTATGTATCCTTTCCCTTTGACTGTAAGGCGTAAAAGCTTATGTCAGTACACATACATTTCTAGTTATGTATTATACATACATTACACATACGTTCATGCAACATCAACTGTTAATGCGCAATCCATTACCGCACCGAGAAGCCGATACTTGAGACTATGACTATAAAAGGCACCATAGCCATAAGTGCCACGACGCATCTTAGAATGGGCAAAAGAGCTGACACGGAACGGCGCCATTGGGGCGTCACTCGGTGTGGCCGACTACGCGCCGCCACCGCCGCCGATGACTGCCGGAGGTGCACGCTATTTGTGCTGTCCTGTTGTTGGCCTCTTTGCATATATATCACGTGACTTATGATATTGTTCTTTATTGGTGTATCAAAAGTGTCTTAGAAGCCAGAGGCACAGGGTCGATTCTCCGCGGTGTCCACCCTTTTTCCAAGGGTGAGGGGCGGGCGATGACATACAGTGTCAGCAGCTGAAGGCCTCATAAAACCCCGTCAGCAATGCACCAACAAAAAGGCCACCGGTAACACTACCTAAAGCGCGCACCAACACAAAACTTTGTGGCCAGTTTTCCACCGTCAATATTTCATGGAACGTTGGTTATCACAAATGCAGTGAACGACCTTATAATTTAAATGAAATTAGCATCGTGAACAGTACGCACAAAATATGACTCAACTCCTATTTTTTCCGGCATGGGCACGGCTACCAGGGAGGGGGAGCCAAGAACACGCCCCTTCCTTTATGGGACGGTTATATGTCCAGATTATGGAAACGCTAAGGGAAAGACCGTCCAAGTTAGGATATAACTGTTTTCGAATGCTCTAGATAACAGGGACAGCTTAATCAAATGAGAAGAAAAACACTAAGTTAGCAAAAGGTGAATTCTCACCCCGTAATGTTGCACGTTTCAGAAAGCCGTCTTCATTATGCGTGTCTTCAGTATGCTTGCCGGAGAGGGTTCTTGTTCGTTTAGTTTCCACTTCTCTTCTATCTGTGGAAAGAAAAAAAAAACGTGTCGGTGGCGTTTTGGGTCTTTGAGCACAAGAGCTCATTGCTTCGAGTTTTCCGTTTTGTGTTTCACAAACGTGTTACTTTGGCCAACACAGCGACTCCGCCAAAGATTACGCTTTGCGACATGTTCCTCAAAGCAAAAAGTTTATCTTGGTAGTTTTAGATCAAAGACCCCCACTGGCCTTCATACCGGACCCAAGTTCAATGGAAATATCGTGATCATTTATTCAATTGTCTAATTGCCTAAGCATCCATCTCAAAGATGTATGTTTCGCCTAACACTACGCTGTCGCATCAGAGTAAACGATTCCCTCGGAATCGCCTTCGCTGACAGCCGTGACCTAACTTTGACATGTGATAGGACAGCGACCTTAAAAGGTGCATCTAAATTATGTTGCCAAAAGACCGGCTGTTTAGTTTTTATAGTTACGCAATTTTCAACGCGGCTACGCTGTGCCGTTTACAAGTTATTCTGGAAAGAAACATCGGGGGCGTCAAACTGACCCGCCGCCCGGGTGCGCGTTGATAGTGATGCACTTACGTTGGCAATATTCATCCATTCGAACTTGACTCAATATATCCAGAATCGAAGCGATATATACCAGAACACTTTATTTCTTCATCCATTCGAACTTGACTCAATATATCCAGAATCGAAGCGATATATACCAGAACACTTTATTTCTCACGGGATTTCAGCCACTTGATTTGGTAGCACTGCAGAAAACACCGTATCTTACCTCACCTTGCACTTTTCAGTATTTAGAAAGAGACAAGCTTTCGGACCCCGTTCGCGCCTAGCTCATATGTGGTTAATAACCGGGCTTGGTCTTGGATTGAAATATGGTACATTTTGCAGAGAAGTGATGATTCAACCTGAACGTGAAGAAGCGAAGGGACTTAGACAGAACCAGGGCAATACCGAACACTGATTATTCCAAAGTTTCGTCAAGGAGGCATCAAAATATACTATAAATATATCAGCATCGAGGTTAAGATGAAATTTGTTATTGGGTACCAAAAGTTGACAGTGGTGAGCTAGCGGCATTTTTTGGTGTAGCTGTGCGAACCGCGTAATTGTAATCGCGTAATCTTATCAGTCGTGAAGCGCTTGAAGTTGGGCGGGGTAGTGTACGGCTAGGGGCTGTCGTGTCGTATTGTTGTACAGGAATTCACATGCACCTGGTTAAGTTAAGTTATCTTGGTCTGCGCCCCTACACATTATGCGTCAGTTAACACATTACGGCTTCATGTAAGAATTCTGCAGCATAATGGATCACATTATGACAGTTCCTGCGCGCTGATTCTGCTGCGAACAGCCTGGCTAAGGCTACCGGTTCCTGAGTGCTGCATGGTAAGTGGCTGGTCAGCATGTTCTAAGGTTCATCCATGCTGGAGTTGAGAAAATTGTTGTTTGTCAATAATATATTTAAAGGACTGCAACGGCATACACTTTTGATCCGGAATTTGAAAAAAATAAAGGCGGAGGCTTCACATGTTTGTACTTTTTATGCACTTATACCCTCAAGATTTAGAAAGCCGTGGACCCGAAAAAATTTCAACATGGGCATTTCAACATGTCATTTTAACATGGGCCTATGTTTCCTAGTCATGGAATGTGTGCCGTTGCTGCCGTATTTTATCCTAGACTGATACCCATACAAAACTACCGTCCAGTGAAAACTGTTCCGGTCGTTGATCGCGCACACGCTGTGGACATATTTGTGGACGCTGGACGAATTCCGCGGCTTAAAGAGTTTCCAGTGGTGCTCTCGAGTAGCCCCCAATGCGGATGAAGGCACGAAGTCGTCAGGATTCAAGTCTATCCCGAATGAAGGAGCTGGTACGTGGCCATTATATCTTCATCACATCTTCGGTAATGCACAGTAGCTCAAACTGTTGTTTTCGTTGTGTACATATATATATATATATATATATATATATATATACATATATACATATATATATATATATGTATATATATAAATGGTTTATCTCTGGTAATTGCCACCATTTTCGTCGTGCGCCGTTGCACCCGCTCAGCAAGCTTTTGGTCCGTACGGTTAAACAGTCCCCATACAAGATCACCGTACTCCACGTGCGGTCCTACGAGGGCCTTGCACAGCAAAGGTAGTTTTTTCACGTCATTGTAATATAAGCTCTTCAAAGTATAGATACAAACTAAAAAAATGGCAGCTTCAAAGGGCAATAACATGACGAGTTGTACGTTTTGGTATGTGTCTTGAACTGAACTTGACCCCATTTTTGGCAAATAACAAAGTCACCCAGTCTGAGATTCAGTTTGCTGCAGTAATACCACATGGGTATCACCGGCGTATGCTTCCCACTCCCTATAATGATGTGAATCAACAACCTTGCACGAAAGCCATGCGCTATTGGTACCAGTACACGAACAAGACAATTTCGAGTACTCCTAGCTCCTTCATTCTGCTCTATGTGACAAATGCTGCGAACAAATAGCGTTTTACCTTACATCCATCGCCAGCGAGTTCACATCAGCCGACGCATAAATCTGCGCTGCAAGTGGCGCTTGATTAAGCGAGGAGGGTAGAAATGCTTTCAGCTGATTGCTTTGTGATGTCACAAAACAAAACAAAAGGACATGCCAAACTGTTAACACTTAGAATTGAACCAAACGGCGAGTGCCGCCGGACGCGATCGGTAGAAATCGGATGGGACGGAAAGGGATCAGATGGGACGTGGTGGCAGCGGATCGAGTGTGATGATCTCTCTCTCTCTCTCTCTCTCTCTCTCTCTCTCTCTCTCTCTCCTCTCTCTCTCTCTCTCTCTCTCTCTCTCTCTCTCTCTCTCTCTCTCTCTCTCTCATGAGCCCAGACGGGACCGGGCGAAATTGGAGGAGACCGGTCTGGACCGGACGAGGCGGCACGGGAGCCGCACGAAACCTGACGCGTTGGGGCCGGACGGGACGGGACCAGATGACATCGAACGGACTGACAGAACGAGAAAGGACGGGACAAGACTGGATGGAATCGAATGTGACCAGACAAAACCAGGCAGGACCGGGTGGGACCACACAGTTTGGAGTGGGACTGAATGGAACCAAACAAGGCCAGATGGGCTATATGGGACCATACGAGACCGGATGTGATAAGACCGAGCCCGCCTGGTATTGGTCGGTCCCGTCCATTTCCGACCTGTTTAGTCCTCTTGCTATTGGTTACGTTTCATGCCGTGCAATCACATCTTCGCGCCAGGTTATATTTGGCCCCGCCAGGCTTTGACCAGTCCATCCAGACCCATCCGGTTCCACCCGGTCTCGTCTGAACCCATCACGTTCCACAATGTTCCTTCTGGTCCCGTTCGGTAGCGTCTGGCTCCATTCGGTCACGTCCGCTGCCTCCCAATGCCACCTGATCCCACAGCTAGCAGGTCGGAAGAGTCTTGTTCCCCACCTCTTCTGTTCCGTACGGCCACGTTCGTGGAACGCTGGGTACCGTAGACCTAGAGGTATGAGACACACACAGACGCAAGAATTTCAAACCCTGTATCTTGCGTTCGCGTTTCTTCGATCGCGGATGCCGTTGGTGGGTTAAGCTGTTGCTTAAAAGGTAATGATTATCCAAGGCATCTAAAGAACGTCTTGGTAAGTTAGAACATAGCATTCTATCGGTGTCCGTCCCATTTAAGGCGCTCTTACAACGGTCAGTGTGCATGCTTACTTTTACAACGTCTCATGTCAATCTGGCCACACTTTTAACGCGATATGTAACCAGGGCTGTGTTGTTTCCCTGAAACAGGATCAGAAGCATTGAAGGAGAAAATGACCAACAAGTGCATGTGTGGGTATGTGTGTTTCCGTGTGTGCGTGTTTTCGTGTATGTGCGTGCGTGCGTGCATGCGTGCGTGCGTGCGTGCGTGCGTGCGTGCGTGTGTGCATGCGTGCGTGCGTGCGTGCGTGCGTGCGTCCACGCAACTAACTACAAAATTTCCCGGCATAGAGCTCAAAAGACATTCTCAATACGCGTGTGGTGGTCAAATGGACCACCCCTCGAAGCCTTTTCCAGAATGCTTTCAGAAAGACACGGCGTAGCTGCGTCGAAGTTTGCATACTGTAAATAATTGAACAGTGGATCGTTTGGATCAAAGATTCAGACACCTCGTAACGTCGCTGACCTACAGCGAGTCGAAATCCGGCTATGGATTCGGCATAGTCAATTTCTAGGAAATCGATCAATCTGATGAAACAACGAAGTGTTAGACGAAATAATACACCTTTTAGATGCTTTCTTAGGCAACACAACAATTGAATGAGCGAACTCCACTGACCTGAGGTCAGTATAAAGGTCAGACCAGGGTCAAAACCAACCTGTTCTATTACTCTAGGGCCTGCTGTATGAGATAGCTTTTGGTGCTCATTTCGGATTAATGGATAACAAGAACTGCATTATACATCTTCCATGGACTTCTTAGAGGTCGGAATGGGTCACTGACTTGAAATGATATGGGTCAAACTATTTTTAGGAACATGCTGCCAAGCGTCATCTTTATCGCTTATTCAAATGCAAAACTGAAGGCAGTCCTGTATGATTATCGTTGACATGATCTTCAAGGGGTCAGACAAGGTCACTGATCTTAAATCTGCATGTGACCTTTTGCTTAGAACAGGTGTCTAGGTTTTAGGACACATTGGAGGCCAACCTAGAAATTGATTTCGTTTGACCTTATCTGACCCGGAGGTCATAAGCTAGGAGCCTTAAACGTTGACCCAAGTGAGTTCATAACCAGGATAACGCACCCTGTGAGCAAGTGTCTGTATCTCTCTTAGTTTCTGAGATCTCAAGGGGTCATAATGACCCCCCATCTGTGCGATGGGTATCCAACCGACCACCCGGGCGCGTGTTAAAACGTTCCCACGGGTGAACGGCGACCAATAAGCACATTGGGCGTTTGCGGGCATCTTATCGCGGGTGACATCCTTCATTTTTAAGAGAAATTCGAACTTTGCTTGCGGTGTCACTTATCCCATCGCGAGTGGTTCACTTTTCTCCGACCCGCACGACCTCCAGGTATCTTACCTTGAGAACCTAGATTGGCGATGTTCTTCAGCTCTTCAAACTTGATATCTCCATGGAGTTTCTCGACCTTTTCCTTCATCTTTGATCCTACAAAGAGTAAGATGTTCGAATAAAGGAAGCTGCACGGATACCGTACGTAAAGCGATGACGTCAGAGCATGGGCAGTAATGAGCACGAGCAATGAGCAGAGCATGGGCAGTAATAACTATTCACGTTTCAATGTCACTTTTCCTCTGCTGAAAATAGGCTCAGAACATTAACGCTTTGGCTACGGTGACGTCAGGGTGAAATCTTAGAAAAGGGTATGACTGTGAGTTGCAGAGAGCAGTGGCGTGGGAGCTAAGTTCGAGTTGAGGGGGTCGCAACCCCTTAAAAAGGGTATGACTGTGGGTTGCAGGGAACAGTGGCCCGGGAGCTATGTTCGAGTTGAGGGGGGTGCAACCCCTCAAGTGCCAAAATAGGCTCTCCGATATTAGATAGTGAGTTCCTGACAAGTAGGAATAGGCCCTTTAGGTCACTAATGGACCCTCGTCAGAATGGCCTCCCAGTGCATAGGCGCAGGAAGCCTCTAAAAGTCTGAGATACCAGGCTCAGGGTGTGCTTAAGAATTTTTGCGGGGAAGCAAGCCCGGTGACTAGAGGGGGAGGAGGGCGATCACAGCTGAAGGACATTGTGCGCTCTTTATTTACGTCATAAGTTTTGGAAATAGGTCATTGTCACGCTCACCACGCTAAATGTACATCTACAGCTGTTTCCCACTGGTGTACAATGATTTGATTCATCAGTGTCATTTGGGAAATAAGGCTACCCGGCTTCCTGAGATTATTCGTCAATTTCAACGTTATTTTCCTGGGGAGACGAAATTCCACGAGCAGGTGGATATTCTGGGTAACTGGGGAGGCGTCTGTCTTCACAAGGTAAATGTCAAAATACCGCCTGGGCATAGGCTGGTCAGAGTTTTGCATGCTGGTCAGCGAGTCGTAATACACCGGAATTTTCGTGTGCCTAGATTTCGCCAGCTGCTTTTTCAGAGATGACATTTGTCGCAGCATTCTTGGCGGAAAAAAATTCGGAAGCTTCAAATACCCGCTGCCAAAAATGAGGTGGCAAAGAAACAGAGCTTCTGCTGTAAAAACGAATCACAAAATGAGCGACATTGTTTCGGATAATCCTTACCTGAGCCCTGCTCCTGTCCGCCATCGGTGCCCCCCCCCCCCCCTTGGATGTAGATTACAGATCAAGATGGGGTCCAGAATTTGTACTGGCATTACGAACCCGTGTTTGTCTCGCATTGTTCAACGTTCAGCCAGAATCGATCACTGAGAAACATTTATGTAACACGGTTTGATGCATGCGCGCTCGCCAAGTTAGCAACAACCCTGGCGCCCGACGTTGCAGTCTCCATAGGCCGCACAGCGTCGGTCTCAAGGCTGACACTAAGTGGCGGCCAACAGGCAGTGCGAAAATGATGACACATCTGGGAGAGTACTTTTGTAGGCTTTTGGACAGCAATTCGTATGTTTAGAAAGTAGTTCCGAATATAAATCACCAGTGTGTTTTTTGTGATTGGCAGGAAGGACAAATTAGCATTTACAGCACCGCGAAATGTTGCTGGAATCTGATATTGGGACTGGAAGATTAAGGGTAGAATCGCTATTTTTCGTGCTGCTGTAGCTGTTAACTTGGCCAGAGGACATCCTCAAGGCCATTTTTAAAACATGCTTCATTCTAATATTCAAATGCTTCAAATTTATTTTGAAAGACTATCGGAAGCATAGTTCAAGCCGGCCATTCTCCTGCGCCCGCCACTCGACGCCTGGCATTACTTGCAGCGACCAACGCCGCTCGGTTTTGCTTTAAGCTTGTGTACGGAGAAGGAAACCAACGCTCGGAATTGCAGTCTCCATGGGCCTCACGGCGTCGGTCCCGTAGCCAACACTCGGTGGGCGTGAACGGGCGGCAAAAACGACCATGTGTAGCAGACTGGTACTTTGAAACGCGTTATACCATAAATTCGTATACGTTCAGATGGTATTTCCGCGTAGATTTCGCTTGTGCAATTTTTAAGATTGATGTGCGGAACAGATAAACATGAAAAGCATCACGAAATCATGACGCAATGGCGTACTCGCGATCACTCTTGTTGCCGTAACTGATAATTTCATTCAGAGAATCAACCTCGAAATCGCGCTATCACAAAATCGCAAATTAGGGTCTTTTAAATGCCCCGTTCGGATTAAGTAAAGGCTGTGGCGCTCCAAGATGGACATGTTGGTGACCCATCGCCGATATGTCAGTCTGGGGCCAACCTCGGATTTCACCAATCGGAAGTATATACATTGCGGTGCCCCCGGAAATTTTTGCCCCTTGGAATGAAGATTTTGACGCCCCTCGCCCAGGAGAACGATCCAAGATATAGTTTGGAGTGGGAAGCGTAACGTTGTTGCGCTCCTGGAATTTGATGGTCCATGAGAATTAAGGTTTGGGGCCCTTCGTGGTGCCCTTTGGAATTGGGTGACAAGCAAAAATGAAAGGTCCGATGCCCGGCATGATGGTTTAGCGTTCTTTTACTGAACGTGCCGATCGAGAATTTCATGAAGTGGAAGCGGCATGGAGATCGTGGTACCGGTGGGATTCGGTGGCTTCGAAAATAACGATTGAGGCACTTTGCGGTGCCTCTTGAATTTGATGCCCCTTGGAACTAAGCGCTATGGGTCTCCAAATGAAAGTTTTGGTATCTCTCCACGATTATATTTTCATGCCACGAAGGGACGTCAAGAAATTATTGGTGGTCCAAGGGGATGGGTAGGATTCTCCCCCCCCCCCTCTCTAGATCTACCCCTGTTTCTACTGCATTACCGATTACAAGCAGAACAATTGAACAACCAAGTTTCGACGGTCGTGGAGCATTGCCACCACACCATTTAGTGAAGTAGCTTCTGTGGCCTCAGCGGCCGGTGCTTCCGGGAGGACCCATGGCCAGCTACTCAAAATCGTTGCTCTCCCTCAGCCTCCTGGAATGGTCTCGAAACGCGCCATTCATGGTCTTGCACAGCATCCACTCAGACAGGGAGATGTCATGTGCTAATGGTGGTTGTATTTTTGCGGAAAATAGTCGGACTTTGAACTAGACCAGGATGAAAAATCGCTATATCATGTTTTTAGAAGTTGTGAGGCGTCAATGAAGAAACATTATTAAGATGATCATGCCCATCTGCTTCTCTGCGCTCATCCACAACATACGACCTGTTGAGCACGTGCACAAATTGAAAGATTGAGTGCCATCAATATAATCGTTTTTTTAGTACTACTAAGAGATTTTGAGGCGTTAATGGAGACACATTACTGAGATGATCACGCCCATCTGCTTCTCTGCGTTCATCCACAGCATACGCCCTCTTGAGCATGAGCACAACTCGAAAGATTGAGTACCGTCAATATAATCGACTTTTGACACTACTAAGTCGTTTAGCCAGTGCATTCTGGTTGTTAAATTGAAGGTCGATAACTCAACATAAGAACTTCGAGCCAATAAAGCCGAAAAAACAAACCGAAGGCCTGTTTTCTTATATCAAGTCAAAATTATGACCATAACCACAGAATTACGAGAAGAGGAAGAGGTGCGTATGGGAAATAGGATGGGTAAGGTTCACGGACTCTCACCCTCACTCCCAATGAAAACGCGAAGGTCCACCTCACCAAGGCTCTAAAAAAGACGAAACGGGCTCTTTGGTATAAGAGCAAACTCGGGTTTGCTATTTGTTATCTCATTCATCGTACATGACAGGATAAGATCTTATCATCTGCCACATTAAGCAATTGAGGTAGATGGCTGGTGAGCTAGGCAAAGTGGCATGCATGCTAAGTAAAAAAGCAAGCTAAATGCGAATTAAATCTGAAACGTGTGGTGTGGGGGGGGGGGGGGCAGTTAACAATACTGATTCACACACTGGAAAGCGGAGAGACAATAGTCCCTTCCGGCCCTCTGGTCCAATACCCATGCCATAGCGTTAAGATGGGCACCTCTTCAGGTCAAAATAGGACATAGGCAGTCCATGACGGGATCTCTACACGTTACAATGGACCCACGTTACGTCAGAACGGGACCTCTACGGGTTAGAATGGGTCCTCGCTGGACCGGAACAGCCTCTTTACAGGCCAGCATGGACCCTCCACAGACCAGAATGAAACCCACAGTCGGTAAAGGGCCCTCCACAGGCTAGGATGGGCCCGCCACAGGCCAGAAGGTACCTCCTCAGTCAATAACGGACCCTCCACTGGTCAGAACTGATCGTGTACAGACCAGAATTCGTCCTGGATAGGCCAGAATGCCCCCCCCCCCCCCCCCTACAGTAAATAATGGCTCCTCTACCGAACAGACCGGGCCCTCTAAGTCAATAATGGGCCCTCCACAAACCCGAATGGGTTTCTGTGCATGCCAGAATGAAGCCTCCACAGTCGGTAAAACACCTTCCACAGGTTAGAATTAATCCTGTATACGCCAAAATTATCTGGCCAAACTCAACATGCCACCCTCCACAGGCCAGAATTGCTACCTGACATTGTCGACTACATTTACCCGATGTTGCGGATAAGCTTTGACAAGACTTTTGATGCTTCCAGGAGTGACCTGACACTACTGTCATCTCCACGCTTCCACGTGGGTTTATGAAGGCATTGCAGAATCAGCCATTACGGCGCTGGTGCAGCAGCTGTGGCACATGACGGGTGGGATTTTGCCCTTGGCACTCTTCCATGTCGATGAACCAGAAGCCCAGCGGCGTGCACAAGCAGACGCTTTCCTCGAGAGCATGAGCTGAGTAATCCCCCACCGCGAGCCGCGATGATGCGCTCTGGCATTGGTTCTAGCAAGTCTAGGCTTCCAGCACTCGCCGACCTCTTAAGGGGCAGACCTCGCAAGTTCAGACCGCTAGTTTGGCACGGAGCGCCTGTGCATCGATTCGGCTTTTCTACCGCTAACGTCAAGCCGTGAGTCATAACGGTTTTCCAGACGGGCCTGGCGAACGTGCGTGGCATCAACGTCGGCAATGACCCAGCCGAAATCCCCCCCCCCAAAAAAAAGAAATAGGGGAATGGGCATTGAACATGACCGTCCCCGTTCCCGAGCGTCCCCGCTTTTCGTCTTAGCGGCGAAAAGCGGACGAGGACATAGACTGATTATGCCAGATCGAGCAGCACTTCTGGAATGTGCTCCAGGGAGCCTGCTGGCTCACTGCTGCAGCATGACCGACGAAAGCAGCCAGGTCTTCGCCTCCAGCAGTGCAAGCCTCGCACAGATCAGGACAAGGACTGTTAATGTGAATCGCTGCTTTTAATTGCCATTGTTCGGTTTATTGTTTTCCAAAATGATTTCGCGTTATTTGCAGAATGCAATGCTGAACTGACGTATTTGTTCACAAAACCGTTCTGGAAACGCTAAGTTCCTGAAAGTTCGCTTTTTCTGAAATGCAGCCTCCTTAGTTACACCTCTAAATCTCGATATAAATGTGCCAAAACTCGTGACACACTCCTTTGCACACGGTAACCAAAAATAGACCCAAGATATTGCACATTTTCACCTTATAGTGTGTTGTAATTTGATTCACCATAACACAGCAAACCACACCGTAAAATGACGACCATAGTTTCCTATACGAGAAGACGCGTGGTGCATCTTACCCAGTGCACCGGGGACCCACTTCGTTACCGGCTTGTCTTCAAGTTCCGCACGCTTCCCAGTATTAAATGCTGTCTGTATCCAGGTGAACTTGTGGGGCACGAAATCTGTAAATACAGCACGCTACAGGCGGTGCGTTTCGTACAAGCCATAACTTAAGTCGGCCGGCAACCATTCAGTGTGTGCATTGTTTTTCACATCGCGGATGATCTGTCCATCAGCTTTACGATTAGTTCAGTTATAATGGATGACAATTAATTTTCAAAGAAATCTGACTGAACGTTGTATACCCTTCATCTCAGTTTTCACTAACATGGTTTGATGCCAAAACTCAACGCCGTCATCATAGAACAGCAATATCGGTTCAGTGAAATGTTTTGTGCGCAGCAAAATACAATGGAGCACACGGCGAGAGCGCCAATTAGCTTACTTTGTACATGACCTTTGAAGAAACCACACCAACAACGATTTAAATATTAGCGCCATCCTGATTAGCAGGCGCACCACGGATCTTGCCGGAAGGAGCAAGCGAATAAAATGCGACCGATGACACCAATGTCTGAAGGCTGATGCCGGCGGCAGAAGAACATTTCCAGTCGTTGAAATATTATTTGATGTCAAGCTTAAAACACGGAGCATGCCCCCCCCCCCCCCTCCCCGCAAAAAATACTTGCGGTTAAGGTCGTCTAACCGGCATTTCCTGATATGTTAGCGGTCAGTAGTTGTTAGCATAAGGGCTGTGATCTTGTACTGCGTGAATAAAAAAGTGAACTGCCGGCCTCCTCTGAACTCATGAGTGACCTTATATTTCTATAATATATTATATAATGCAAAGTACGATGATCTCTGTCCCATTGAAGGTTTACTTTACGGCTTTCCGCTGCGATCCAACACGACCGCTGGCCACTCGCCGCCTGACGTGTCTCTTACTTCGTGTGCCCTCCTTCTTGCTCATCAACACGAACCCGCGGGCTGCTGGGTAGCCCTGGTCAGATTCGGGTTGTGAGGCGATCTTCCAGTCCAAGCCATCTTCCACTACGGCGCTGTCAGCTGTCCCGCATTCGCAGCCCGTCCTGCAAGGACCAGTCAAAGAAACATGGACTGCTACGCCGAAAACAGCACACAAGGACAAGTCAAAGGAACATCAACTGCTACGCCGAAAACAGCACACAAGGACAAGTCAAAGAAACACCAACTGCAACGCCGAAAACAGCACACAAGAACAAGTCAAAGGAACATGGACTGCTACGCCGAAAACAGCGCACAAGGACAAGTCAAAGAAGCATGGACTGCTACATCAAAAACAGCACACAAGGACAAGTCAAAGGAACATGAACTGTCACGCCGAAAACAGCACACAAGGACAAGTCAAAGGAACATGACCTGCTACGCCAAAAGCATCACGCAAGGACAAGTCAAAGGAATATGAACTGATACGCCAAACACAGCACACAAAGACAAGTCAGAGGAATATGGACTGCTACGACAAAAACAGCACACAAGGGCATGCCGAAGAAATATTAACTGCTACGCCAACAGCGGAACACAAGCAATGAGATGTGCTTGATCTGCTACTTACGCCAACATGCAACGCTTTTCGCAACGCAGTTGAACTAATGTCCTTTTCTTCCGGAGCGAGATACTCTTCGAAATAGTTGAGCTTGTGCCCACTTTCTTACGCATTTTCACATTTTAACCTGCCAGCACAACTAAAACGTGCGATAGACGAACGATTCGCCAGGAAAACCTTTTTTCTGATTTTCCTGGATTTAACCATGTGTTTATTGACAATGCGTCTTACGAGACACATCAGTCAGACACGCAAATGCTCAATGACTGCCAGGTACGAAACCTGTAGAGATTAGCAGTCCGAAGTGCCCGCAGACACCAGGTGCAAATGCATTGGACACATTTCACGACTATCCTAAACGAATTTGGGCCATCTGCGTTAAAGTGCCATCATGTGCGCATGCAAAATCTCTCCAAATATCATATCTGTGCGTGCGTGCGTGAGCGCACGTCTGTGTATCCTCTGTCGTGTGAGTGGACCAGAGACGCATCTTCTTCCCAAAATGTCCGCCCGCAGACCGAACCGCCTCGGTCAGTTGGGGATCAAACCCACAAAAGCCAGCTGAGTTATAATGCTGGCCTAGGGTGAGGGCTTGGCCGGCATATATTGTGTTAAATGCAAGTTGCTGTCATTCTTATTAATTTGTATTTTTTGTTGCAGTTGATGCACTTCCTTTTATTGGTTCAAAACCAAAGCTGCTACACTTAAGACGCATGCATAGTAAGCATAACATAGCGTGCCCCTGCCATCTAATGCAGATCATGTTGTGCCATATGCCAATAATGTTGCTAAAACAGCAGTGAGCAAAGCACCTGAACCTATGAATTTTCTTTGGTACCGCCGTGCAGCTTAAACGCTGTGATGTCAGTCTTCCACTGCAAATCAGAAAGGACTGGGAAGTTTAAATGGGCCATCACTAAGATGTGCATTATTTCAGTCTAGCTCCCCATCTCAGTAAACCACAGGTTAGGCTTTACAAAATTGCATGCTGTAAAGAAATGATGGATGTTTCAACTGCTCGGAAGTATGTTCAGTTTATTACAATGAAAACGGAAATAAAGCATATATATATATATATATATATATATATATATATATATTTATAGCTCCAGGAAAGTGGGGACATGAAACAATGCCAATCGAATTCGTCATTTTCACGATGTGCTTGACAACACCTGAATGCGTTGCAAAAGTTCTAATACGAATAATCCGGGCTGCTTAAATATCGTAGCCCTGGCGAAAATCGTATCGGTGTTTATCGTCCTGAATCTGGACGTGTCGAATCAATTTCTGAGTTATTTGCCTGTCAGCTCATTACTTCGTGTTATTGGAACAATGCCGCTATGGGATCGGCACCTGTTCTAGCGCTTGGAAGTAGTCAATCTATCCTCATTTTTCCATACAAATTGCATTGAGCGCCCATTAACTAGCCTCGAGAACAAAGAAGCACAAGTTTGTAAAGCGTCGTTAGATACACCTTTCGTTGCATGCCATTTAAAACCTGTGCTGTGCCTAGTCACACATTACATGTTTGCTTACACTCCGATGGACATCCATGTAGCGGTGCCCTTTTCAAAACACGCGCGCCAGCAATCCTCGATGAAAGGCATGTTGGGCTCCTTATTCCAGGTGATGCCTTTTGGTCTTCTGTTGGCCCAAAGCCAGTGTTTTGCAGCTGAAGAATTGTGAGCATGGAACAAAACGGCACAGGTTTATCCATTTCAACATTCAAAGCATGACGGTGCGCAACTGCACATGCCAAGGCTCTTTACATTCATAACAACTTCAGTGCCATCGAAACTCTTAGGATGATGACCGTCATCTTGCCAGAAGACATTGGTGTTCATTACATCTATTAATCGTCTTCACCTTTATTATAGACATAAAACATACATAGCAGAATGCCTGTGCATGTTTCAAGTAACATACGCGTGGCGCCAGTCTTCTTTATTTTGCCCCAGGTAATCACAGCCAGCACTGAGTAGGCTTCTACCCCATCCACGTGCTCGTTGCAGAACGACATTGGTAGAGGCCGAAAGCCAGGTCCGGCAGCTGTGGCGTTTCCGCATCTGCATCCGCCCCTATGAGCCAGAATGAAATCAAACGCATCGTTATCACCTCTCACAGAAAGCAACAAGAGTATTCAGAATTCACTACATGGTTGACATCCGCCTAATGCACAGAATATATTAATGAGCAGCTCATGGAAGCAACCAGCCTATTTCAGTTTTATTTTTATACTGCTGACAGGAGCAATGCCTAAATAATTGGACTCCCGCCCCGGTGGCTCAGTTGGTCAGAGCGCCTGCTTTCGGGTCCTGACACCCGTGGCGAAGTGGACTCAACTCGCTTTAGACGCTCGCTATTTGCCCTTCACAGGTATGGCCTGCGGTCGGTGGCAGCGGTCGCGCTAAAGGTCAGTTGACGTCACAGGGCAGCCCAGACCGTGCCGAGCATTGCGGCGCGTTTAACTTTCGCTACCACATTCTGCTGATGCCTGGAATTGCGCGATCGGATGGTAGGGGTCATGGCTCACACAACAAGCAATGCTTAGCGTGAGCTCCGCTTTCCCAGAAATTTCCTTCGATTCTTTTTTTGTTGTTGTTACAAATTTAATAGAATAAAAAACTCCATTTGATTCCATCCATTCAAAAGGTTCGAATCAAATCAAATTTTTAATCTTCAACACCAAAAAAAATGCTGGTATTACTCGAGTTGCCATCCTCATACTTCCTATATGAGAACCTGGAATGTCGACTGCCGCGAACTTCCTTCCAGGAAATATGTTTTACGTAGCCAGGATATCCAAATTCGCTTAGTTGCTACCTGTGCAGCCTCGAGCATTTTTCGGAATTCAAGATGGCGACCGCCGCCATATTGAATTTCATCCCTGAGTATCCAGTTTCAAAGCTTTTTTTCTCGATGGCTTGGAGGTTCGTGTGACACCAGTTTGGGTTTTTTCTATGGCAGGGAGTACATTTCTGCAATTATTTGTCATGCAAGAGCTCAAAACTAAGGTCAAATGAAATTCTAAAAGTTGAACTTTGTCATAAGTCACCAAAATTATTTGTATTGATCGATGTATGGCATTTGTCGTCTTTGCGTTCTCATTGCAAGGGTACCACTCACCAAAGCTGCATATGCTATATACTTTAATTTTGTAAAGATGTGCTCCATACCCCATGCATGCCCTATAAAACACGCTTTTCACGCGAATGGGTACGTGCAGTCGAGTAGCTATCGCGAACTTTTGGCGGAAATATTTTATGTAACTAGTTAGATGCAGCTAGAAGAGCAAAGTTTATCTGATTGTTACTTCCGCAACTTTGCACATTTCCCAGAATTCAAAATGGCCGCTACTACCATGTTGAATGCCGGTCCAGTTTCAAAGTTTACCTTGGCGACTTGGAGGGTCGTGTGACATTATTTAAGAGAGATTCTCGATGGCATGAAGCCAATTTTAGAGTCATTTTTAATGTATGCGGTCAACGTCAAGGCCAAATTGAAAGCAAAAGGCTTAAGGCCAAATTGAAAGCAGAAGACCAAACGTGATTAAAAGTAATCTGATATATGCCGTTTGTTGTCTTCTCGTACTGCTCATAAAGGTACAACTAGCAGCAGCAGTATTGCAAACCATAATAATATGGACTAATGTGTTATATACACGGCGTATGTGTGTATGAGACTGCAATGCATACATAGACATGTACTGTCGGCTGCAATGAACTTAAGTGTCCATTTGGAAACTCGTCGCTGCAAAGCGATACGCTTTGAATGTCAGGCGACTCTGCCAGGATGTGGTATCTTAGCTTACAAATCGGGCTCCTTTAGATTGATATCCGGGAGTAGAAACAATGAAGAAAGAGGTCTTTGCGCGCTCATTCGCGATTTTCCAAAAGTTCCTGAAGCCCCATCATAGTGACTTTGATTTAAAGCAAGACTGTCTGTGTCTAGGAAATAGTGTAAGGCGAAAGGCAGTAAGGCCAACGTGGCTGGGTACAGGTTAAACAGCATACAATTACAAATAAGCATAGTGATATCACGTCAGATCCTCTGGGGTTAGAGTGATTACCATACCCATTTTTTTCAGGTTTCAGCTTTTTCCAGTTCCAGGCCCTCCCGTTTGTCGTGCTGGTGATGCCGCCACCGAACGCTACGCTGTGCCCTGCCCTTGCCAGTGCTCTTGCTGTGTGCCTGAGCGTTACTAATTAAATTAAAAATGCATGGCAAAGCCAGACACAGCTGGACAACTGGCAAGCGATGCACGTTGTGAACTAAAGGGCAAGCTCTACGCAAGTGAACCGCGGCCCGGTAAACTTCATTACACCTTCCGTTACATGGGCATGCTTCCTTCCAATCGCAGGGATTTGCGAGGTTGGATCTGCAAGCTCTATCAGCTAAAATTCGGTATCATCGGTATAGTGATATTTATCGCGAATTTTCAGCCCTGTAGTTTCCTGCCTCGTGCCACGCCACACCTTGTCTTACTGGCACGGACATGCGCACAAGTTGGTCTGAATGTATGCTGGTCTTGATGAATGCAAGAATCCAAGGAAGCTGGATGGTTGCATCGCCGTGCTTACTTTCCAAAAGCAGCGAATTCTGTTTTAGCTGCATTGCAGGCGTCCAGGCAGTGCCGGAACAGCTTGACGGGGTGTTTCGACCAGCTCACTGGCTCCGTTGAGCAGCTCCATCCCCCTGGAACTGGAGAGCGATACAGTTCATCGGGATTTGCGGGCGTTGCCTGCTTTGCTTGCTGCTTCGCCTGCCTGCTTTGCATTTACACCGCACTGCATGCGAATGCTCATGCATTACACCATGCATTGCATCATGCATCTGCATGCATCGTAGAGTCCGCAAAGCGCTAACCTTTCGAGTTCTCTTAATTCTAAAAGATGTAAAAAAGCACGGACTTTTTTCATTGACTAAGTATTACCAGTGTTTTTAGGGCACGTGATCACTCCTAGAAGCCAACGAAATAAACAGACACCGCTTCGCATCCTTTTATTCATAATCTGAAATCAAACTTTCTTTGACAGGGTCTGGACGCACATACCATTAACGAACGCTTCTCTGTCGTGAAGCAGGAACCCTTCTCCGGGTGAAAGCGGCTTGCTGCTTTGAGCTTCCACCCATGTTTCAACGTCGACTTCAGGGTCATCCTCCTTGAGGCTTCCACAGGCGCAGGTCATCCTGGGTGCATCCGCCAGCAGTTAACCCGACATTGACCGGGCTCCTCAGCGGCACACCATTGGCTGGCGGGGATAGATTTCACCCCTCCCCTGTTTATCTCAAGAATGGCTGGACCGAATTCACAAAGTTAAATCGCAACCGATAGCACCGTAGCGTGCGGTCTCAAACCACGCAACAAACTTGATTTTAAGTTTGTATTAAGGTCATAGGCCAAGGTCAAATTCTGAAACAATGCCGCTTTGGAATATCTGCCCACTCCCACGACGTATTTCATTTAGAAGCGCATCTCATTGTGTGGATTTACTGCGCCTTGATCAAACTTGCTACATGGGAAGGTATTCAATGTTACGCGCGCCTCGTCAGGTACGGCCAAGGTCACGTGCCGTGCCAATTAGAGCGGCACCTTGGTGTTCATATCTGTTCTGGTCTCTTTATTTACGTGATATGTGAACCATCTTAACGTGAAGTGGGCGAGCCTTGACGCAATTATGGGTATAAGACAGGTGAGCATGAGCGGCTGCCTGTTCATAAATCATCCAAGATCAAAGAGATGCGTTTACTTTGGATGGCAATTGTGTCATAGAATTGGAAGTGCGAAAGCCATCGTCTACGGTCTGCCTGTGATACTCCCTGTGATATCCACCTATCAGGATATAGATCTTGATTGTTCTGTTCACGCTGAACAATGATAGACGCTAACCGTTTGAACACCTGGGGGTGCCGGTAAGGTAGTGGTTAAAGGGAGTGCTCCACATTTGAAGATATTGAATCAAGCAGGGAATACGTTAAAAATTATCACTCATAACTGTTATATACTTTTAAGTGGAAAAACTGCCCCAGACACCACAATTTCTCTATTTAGTAAATATGTTCCTCAATACGTGTTTGTTAGATTGCGTCATTATACCTTGTACAACGTTAATTAGGAGCCGATTGGCGGCCCTGCTTTCTGGAAATGGTGCTCACGAGCAGCAGATATGAACGACCCGACAATTTTATCTTTCTTGGTCTTGGTCGACAAATAGATAATGGAATAACAGCATTCTGATGACGTTATTATGATGTCATACATCCCAAGGTGACCCTGAAGTCCCTCCCACCAATACTCTACAAAATTTAACGCCCTTTCGGCTCGGGAGCCAGAAAGTTTTATGTCTTAAAAAAGGACATGACCGTGAGCGGTATCGAAAGGTTCAGCATAGCTGTTCCAGTTCAAAATCCCATACAAATGTGGATCACTTCCTTTAACGCGCCTGCGTTAACTATTGCGCACCTAGGAAACTAGGGGTGCGGGTTCGATTCTCCGCAATGGCAGCCAACCCTGCCAGGGTGACGGCAGGCGACGCCATGTAGCCTCAGCGGCTGAGTGCGTCGTAGAGCTCAATGTCGACGACGTGTGGACACTCAGGACGAGCAATACAATACGACACAATCCCATCCAATGCAACACAATACAATACGACACAATCCCATCCAATGCAACACAATACAATACGGCAGTCAGATTGGAAAATAACAGCTTTAAACGGGACGGCTCAACTTAAAACTAGCACTCACGGCCCAGCTATTACAAAGCGATCCGTGCATGCCTCCATGCACCCTTCCAAAGTAGTGACGTATCCAGGAGATCGCCAAACTAGCCGGAGGGGGATTTTGGAGACCCACCATAGCCTTAAGTCTGAAACCCACGGCAGGTCATCAAGTCATGGCATAAACACATGAAACATAGGCATGTAGGAACTTCGGCCTTTCAAGGTACCGGGTGCAGATAATCAGCGTAGTTGACGCTCTCTGAAGCCGCACACACACACGCGCGCACGCACGCACGCACGCATACACCATACCCACACCCACACCCCACACACCCACACCCACGCCCACACCCACACCCACACCCACCCACCCCCACCCCATATATATATATATATATATATATATATATATATATATATATGTATTGTTTATTGCATATCAGAGAAAATTCCATGTTTACATCCTCTTGGGCGTTCTTATGACGAGCAAGTAGGTCAAAAACGCGAAATGTTATGACCTTGCTCAAAGACACGCTGTGCTCCCCAACCAACAAAGCATGAGAGAAACGTTGCTCCCCATATAATCCAGTTTATAGATATATATAGGTATGCGTTAAAAGCATCCATCTTTTCTGCCTCGAAAAGGATTTGTATGTGCCTTCTCTATAAAGGTACGTTGTCTTGATATTTCTTGCGTGTTCCGATGTCAGTCCTGTCAGCGATCTGTTTTTGATCGTGAACGCCTTGCGCTTTTCACACCCTGCCCGTGTCAAACGACGCTTTAGTCTCCTGCTAAAAGCGCATGCCCGCAACCTGGAAAGAGACGACGTTCGTTAAGTACAGTGATCACCGTTAATGCGGTTGAGAAAATATATCTGCAATAACAGTTCTCCGGCTATTTTGTGAACAATTCTATTATTATAGCTATAGTATCCAAGAATTACAACATATGCATTCCATAATATATCATTATGGTTATAACTGTGAATAATTTTAGTTTGTGAAGGTCAGGCGACTACATCATGAAACCCAGGTGCGGTTTTCGTTAGTTGGCATGCGATGACAATATTTTATTAGTAACATTTATTTCCTTCGTTCACCCAAAAGATAGTAAGGTTCTTCAGACCATGGCCATTGAGCCGGTGGAATTTCACAAAAACACGTAGAACCAATTATGACAATTTGCATTAGTCATCAGCCATCATTACCTCGAAATCAGCCTGCCTGCTAGCCGCCGGTCCCTGGTTAGCTAGACACCAGCCCCAAACCGGCCAGCACCAACAAATCCCAAGAGTAAGCGTCACGTTTGTTTTTAATGGTATTAAAGTGAGTGTTCATCACGAGAAGATACTGGAGCGAACATCAGGCTTGATGTTCCATGAGTATGCGTCGCGTTTGATTTTAATGGTATTAAAGTGAGTGTTCATCACGAGAAGATATTTAAGCAAACATGTGATGAAATAGGGTGAGTTATAAGTATTGCGTACTAAAAAATGGAAAAGGCTGCCCTCAATAACAAATGTTCTCTGTTTAGCAAATATGCTAAAAAAAAAAAATACAGCATTGTTCGATTGCGTCATAGAAGGTTGCTTGACATGAGGTGCTGCAACACTACCGGTGCGATATTGCCATTCGTACTTCAAACTCGTCGAGAGATAGCAGCACTGCCTGGGAGTGTTCGCTGGGCCAAATATCGTTATGTATTCGTATTTTGTCCCTTCTCTGGTGTTCCTGCACATTCATCAGTGAGTTAAACATGTTTTCTTGCATTCACACACTTGGTTATGGCGTTATTCTCAACTTATTCGATTACGAGAATTATTTCCGCATAACTAGCAGATTAAAGAGCATGTCTCACTTCTCATCCCATATATAATAAAAGTTGTGTTATGAGTGAAGCCTGCACATCTATCAATTTAGTATCCTTTGTGCAAATTGAAGTTTTGAGCTACCAGGAGCAGGTACCTAAGCCAGGTCAAATAGGTCCACCTTTTAAACCTTTGACCACGCTTAGCCTTTTGCGGATATATAATATCCGTTATGACAAGTTGACATAGATTTTAAGTGCATCTATCAGCATCTTTTTACCTTTGGTGACCACTGGTAACCTCATACCTAAACTAAAATCTCAAATTGAGCGTGCATTCGTCATGATTTGACGTGACCTTTGAAACACAGCGTCTAGAAAATGAGGATTTCAGTGGAGAAATCAACTTCTCCTGGCCGGGTGTGGTTGTCTCCGACCCCTGGTCGGCGCGGGTCAAGTTTGAGTTGCTTGCAAATATGTCTTAGGTGAGGCATAGTGACAGTACATCAAATCGCCAAGACGACAGAAGACTCCGGGAACAATAGGTGACACCACTGCCACAGTACAACTGCATGAGATTTGGGGAATCACAACGAAAAACTAAAAAATGTAATGTAAATAAAGCATTCTAACGTATTCCCTATTTTAAATGTAGTTTTTAGTATTCATAAATCATCCCCCAGTATTCACCTAACTTCAATGCAAAAAAGCTGTAATGTCTTTCCAAAACACACTTTCGCAGGAGACGCTAGTGCCAAGATGATTTATAATACGTAAATACGTAAATACGTAATGCGTAAATACGTAATAATACGTATTAATAGATGATTACTAATACGTAATACTGGCGTAATACAAAAAAGCGAGAAAATCTGGTCATTATAATTTAAGGCGATAGAGGGTCAAGGTTTAGGACGTCAGAGAACGAGAACCTGTCTCTCCGAGCCGAAAAGAAATCAAATGAAAATTTACTGGACCTATGAGGGAACTCGCAATCTTGTGCATTGCTAACACTACATGCAGTATAACATATGCACATTCTTAGAAAAGGCAGGACGTTTCAAGTAAAAAAATATTTTGAGGCCCATCAATAAGATAGTAGTAATAGCCTTATTCCATGTACAAAAACCAGGAGAATGAAGATAAGGATGGGACGACATTTGACATTATGTCTTTCTCAAAGCGAATCGCAGAAGTAAATCCAAAGTTGCCTGTCAGTGATTGTACTTGAGTTTGCATGTTTTTTATCAGCTTCTTATACTTGTCTGTTTCTTAAATCTAACAAGTCGAGCAGAATCGTCGGCAGGCAAATTTTAAGTTACCTCTGCTACTCATTTCGATAAGGGCATGCTGCCGAAATACCAACGCATCTACATTTCCATTCTCCTGTTCTTTACGACGAATAATGCTGTCACTACCGCCTTATATATATGCATAATGTTCCTCAACAATGCACTTCAAAACTTGCGTCATTTTGAGGCCAAACGAATCCAAATCAACCTAAATGTATTGATATTTCTTACATATAATGGATAAGTTAAAGAGAAGCCAATTCCTGCTATGAGATGTGCGATATTTATCTCTACGATAACAGGGTAAACAAATCTTCAAGATGGATTTGGGCGGACATTTTTAATGAACATGTTGGCTAGCTGGACCAGGGAGAATTGGATTCAAAACTATAAAAATGACGGATGGGCTGGCAGATTACATTCTAGAGAGCCCGCCCACTGCAGATTCTAAAAAGTAAATTCGCTAAGTGTTATACAGCAGAATATGTAAGTTTTTGCGCATTCGCTGCATTCATTATGAAAATATGTAAGCGTTTCTCCAATGGCATAAAACAAAATCAGATCTACTGTACCCAGGGTGGAATACCTTCATCGTGCAAGTGCATGCACTGAACCGCTGCCCTCTGGCCCAGACGCCTGTCACGTGAACAGCAAAGCACACACGGCTGGTGACCGCTGCGAAGCGTGGAGGAAGCTCTAGAGCCTCACCTCTCTGTAGCGTTCGGTTTCAGCTGTTTATCGCAGTCTGGCAGCTTGTCGGCGGCGCTGTCCGCCTTGCTCAGCGGACAGTCAGCTCGACCAAACCGCACACGCAGCGTGAAGCCCGGGTCGACATCCGCCAGCGGTGTCCGGCCAAAGTGCACGTCCTCGTGATGGACGGCGGCGCTCGGACCGGACTGCTCGCCGCACGAGCACCCTTGGCTGGGGGCGAGCATAGCTCATGAGGGGGCCGGATTAGTCAGCACGCCGCCCCGCCATGGCAATAGCGGATGTTGTCGCTACATGGCATGTATATGTGTATGTATATATATGTATATGTGGCTGCCCTTTGCATACTTTCCCATTCGTTACAGCTGGGCATATTTTTTCGCATGTAAGCGGAACACCCGGGAAGCATCCCTGCTGAGACGTGCTCCCTGCAAGTTAAAGGGAATGCTCCAAATTTGAGGACATTGATGCGAGTATTGGATATGATGAAATAAGCCCACTTATAATTCCTGGTTTGCTATTAAAGGGATGTTCCACATTTGGAGATATTCTGGCAAACATCAGATATGATGGCATGAACTCACTTCCAACTATTGGTATGCTTTAAAATGCAAAATTTCTCTAACAGCGAAAATTTCGTGTTTAATAAATAAGCTCATCAATGCGTCATCATTTAACTACGTTATGGAGCGTTTTCATGACGTCAGAGAGGCTACCAGACAGGCCGCGTCAAAATTCCTAACGCGGCGACAGGCTGGCTCATTTGTGGTACTTACAAGTAAGCAGAAGTACCTACCTTACTGAACTTACCGAAAGGTAGCGGTATGTCGTTTAAGCCTGTTTGTGGTGCGGAATATCGTCATGCGCTCGTAGTTTGGTCCTTTCTAGCGATATGATGGACAAATATTGCATATTTGTCTATCATTTCATTTTGTTTACTTACATTTGCATGCTCAGTGTTGACACTATTTTTAAAGGAAGGTTAAACATTTGAATAGGGTTTTGAACTGGCAGCAATCTTGCTGATCATTCTGTGCAGTTCACAGCCCCGCCTTTCTCAAACAGAACGTTTCACATTTGAATATGTTGACGCCAGCATCAGGTAAAATGAAGTAAGCTCATTTGCATCCGTTGGTATACTTTTAAGCAAAAAAGACTGCTCTAGACAACACAATTTGTTTGTCAAGTAAATACGCCTCTCAATATGTCAGTGTGCCTTGCACGACATCTTTTGTGAACCAATTGGCGTCCTTTGCATCTCGAAGTCGTGTTCACGAACGCCAGATGTTAATTAAATTTGTATTGACCTTGATCGCTGCATGGGTAACGAAATGACAAGATTGGAAGAGCGTTATGATGGCGTCATGGATGCCTGGGGGGCCTTGAAATAGTCTCCCCGAATAAGTCTGCACATTTTCGCCGGCGTGTGGCCAGAAACTAGATGGGTTTAGGTCTTAAAGACTCGAAGGGCAGGGCTATGAACTGCACCGAATAATCTTTGAAATAAGCATTTCAGTTCAAGATCCCATATAAATTTGGAGCACTTCTTTAAAGCTTAAAAAAGCTCAAATTTCCGAGCTGTACGCTCGCCAAGTTTGCAGACCATTTTGTGTAAATCATTTAAAGGGCACTCAAACATGTGTAACGTCATAGAAACGTCATTCGAATGCTACCATCACCTTGGCCATGCCGCATTCAAAGCCAAGTCATATTTAATGGCCCGGTCATCCATGCCTAGCGTACGTGAGCACGGTTTCCAGATACAACGGGCTTCATTTGGCTCTTAATCAGTGTTTAGTACTCAGTGTAGGCTTCAGATACGAACTACGTCTTGTGCTACACGACACAGGGAGTATTTGGGGGGGGGGGGGGAGTATTCGAGTATTGGGAAGGATGTTTACTAAAAAGTTGACGCCTGTCTGTTGCCAGTCTTTTGCTCTCTGTTGATGCCAGAAACCGTGCTGACGTACGCCAGACACGAATTATTCGATGACCTTAAACACGAGATGTGCAATGAGATGGCAGTAGTTGTATCACATTTGTACGGCGTCATGCATGTCTGGGTGACCTTGAAATGGCGTGCACGGAAAAGTCTGTACAAGTTCGCGGGGTTAGGCTCAGAGACAATAGCGGTCTACACTTTCACAAGGACATGGCTGTGAACTGCACTGAATGATATTCAAAATGGCTGTCATTTTGAAACCCTACACAAATGAGGAATCCATAAAAAGAGGCCGCGATGACGTGCATGGCGTTCGTTTTGCCTTGTGGAACATAGAGTTCCGGTCGCGGCTACGGCAGTATTAGCATCCAATAGGCCACAAGTCTCCCATCAGTTGTCTATTTCTATGTACATGTACAGATGCTTAACTACATCAACCGGTGCATGAAAATCTCAAGGGCTGTAGGGCTGTGATCCTTGCTGCCTTTCTATAAAACCGCATCGGTTCGGAATCAATATTAAAATTTTGCTCACCTCTCAACGCGGGCGAAGTCGCTGGCTATCTTCATACAGCGCTCGACGCAGTCTGGCAGTGTTGTCCCATCGACAGGACTCTCATCAACGGATTGCCAGGTTACCCCGGCCGCTCGCTTGGCTGTAATCCAAACCTCGGACTCTGAGGATCAAGGTGACGTGTTACCTTAGCCAGAAAAAGTTGGTATGTGCCCCCCAAATGTGCTATACAAATCGTGCATGCCATTGAAAGGCACTGGCACTATGATGGGGCCACAATAGCTTATAGTAGCATACGTGAACAGAAATGGTGCAATGCATCACAAAATGACATCCGGTGGTTCAGTGCCCACCTGGCCTCAGACGAGTCAGGTCCTTCCGAAAGGCACCCACTTGCAGAACGTGGATGGACGTGCTGGAGCAGTTCTCGACGGAGACTTTTATAGAAAGTGTCGGCCAGTGTTGACAACCAGAGGGTCCTACCACCAGAACTGCGGATTTCAGAGCGAGTGCCTTCTTCCAGCACTGGTCCATCGAGGTGGTGGTGCTGTCCCAGTCGGAAGTCGGCACTTGCCCGGTGCATACCCAGCCGTCTGTCAGTATCGGCACGTCTCAGTCAGCCCCTCAAACGGCACGGGTAGAATTATGAAGGTGAACACAAAAACTGATTGGTGCGTGTGTGTGTGTGTGTGTGTGTGTGTGTGTGTGTGTGTGTGTGTGTGTGTGTGTGTGTGTGTGTGTGTGTGTGTGTGTGTGTGTGTGTGTGTGTGTGTGTGTGTGTGTGTGCGTGCATGCTTGTGTGTTCGTGTATGTGTGATTTAATATCAAAGATTTACAACAACAAAAAAACAAACGCTTAGCCATGAATATTGAGGATGGCATCCACATGTCAGCATTCTTGAATGATAACTCACTTGGAGGTGGGAGGCTGATGACGGCGGTTGCCGCCTGCTCCTCCGCTGGCTTCGTCTTGTTCTCTTTGGTCGTCTCTGGCGAGTTGGAGGCGCCGAATATATATTAAATTGCGCTGTCTTGGAACACTCTACTGTTGTTTTTTTTACATTCAATGCCACCAAGACTAAACTTATTATCATTAAGTTCTCCTCTCTCTCTCTCTCTCTCTCTCTCTCTCTCTCTCTCTCTCTCTCTCTCTCTCTTCTCCTCTCTCTCTCTCTCTCTCTCTCTCTCTCTCTCTCTCTCTCTCTCTTCTCGCTCTCTCTCTCTCTCCTCTCTCTCTCTCTCTCTCTCTCTCTCTCTCTCTCTCTCTCTCTCTCTCTCTCTCTCTCTCTCTCTCTCTCTCTCTCTCTCTCTCTCTCTCTTCTCTCTCTCTCTCTCTCTCTCTCCTCTCTCTCTCTCTCTCTCTCTCTCCTCTCTCTCTCTCTCTCTCCCTTCTCTCTCTCTCTCTCTTCTCTCTCTCTCTCTCTCTCTCTCCTCCTCTACTCTCTCTCTCTCTCTCTCTCTCTCTCTCTCTCTCTCTCCATCTCTCTCTCTCTCGCTCTCTCTCTCTTCTCTCTCTCCTCTCTCTCTTCTCTTCTCTCTCTCTCTCCCGCTCTCTTGCTCCTCTCTTCTCTCTTCTCTCTCTCTCTCTCTCCCTTCTCTCTTTTTTCTCTCTCTCTCTCCTCTCTCTTCTTCTCTCTCTCTCCTCTCTCTTCCTCTCTTCTCTCTCTCTCTCCTCTCTCTCTTCTATCCGTCCTCCTTTCTCTCTCTCTCTCTCTCTCTCTCTCTCTCTCTCTCTCCTCTCTCTCTCATCTCTCTCTCCTCGTCTCTCTCTCTCTCTCTCTCTCTCTCTCTCTCTCTCTCTCTCTCTCTCTCTCTCTCTCTCTCTCTCTCTCTCTCTCTCTCTCCTCTCTCTCTCTCTCTTCTCTCTCTCTCTCTCTCTCTCTCTCTCTCTCTCTCTCTCTCTCTCTCTCTCTCTCTCTCTCTCTCTCTCTCTCTCTCTCTCTCTCTCTCTCTCTCTCTCTCTCTCTCTCCTCTCTCTCTCTCTCTCTCTCCTCTCTCTCTCTCTCTCTCTCTCTCTCTCTCTTTCTCTCGCTCTCTCTCTCCTCTCTCTCTCCTCCTCTTCTCTCTCTCTCTCTCTCTCTCTCTCTCTCTCTCTCTCTCTCTCTCTCTCCTCTCTCTCTCCTCTCTCTCTCTCTCTCTCTCTCTCTCTCTCTCTCTCTCTCTCTTCTCTCTCTCTCTCTCTCTCTCTCTCTCTCTCTCTCTCTCTCTCTCTCTCTCTCTCTCTCTCTCTCTCTCTCTCTCTCTCTCTCTCTCTCTCTCTCTCTTCCTCACGTCAAAGACTAGAAAGTTTTCCCCCTCTGAACTATAATCAGGCAAGTGGCTATTGCGCTTAATCAGTTCCCTTGTGATTGCTACCTTTGCCTATATATTTATGTACATGTACCCATTTACGAGAAACATCGATCATTTGGCTCCGAAGTTTGCTGGGTCACTCGAGAACTAATTCCGGTAAAGGCGTCTTCATTCGGAGATCTTAAGGGATTCATAGCCCATTTGAAACAGTTCGATGCGCCCCTGGGTCAACCTGCCTTTCATTTCTGGAACACAGTATCGCCTTTTGGGATCAAAGAAATAGTTCTTGCCGCAGTCTTTAACTGTGACAACGTCTCCACGGCAGCGGTAAAACCTTCGACGATCTTGAGGAACCGGAAGGTCTCCATAACGTTCTGAAATCAATGAAACAATGCGTTTGTACGACTTTTAGACCCTATCACTTTCACCAGGCATTTTATTCATGTATTACAAACTGATCTAAGTGATAGAGCTACTGCAACGTTTGGTGCTCATTATTTCGGAATATTGCACTCAAGAACTTTACTTTCATCACTCCGCACTGGCACTGCACTGCACATGCCAAAACCATAGGCTGGTGGAACACTAATTAAATCTAGTTACTTAAACTTCAGGACAATGTCCACAATGGCGTCACTGAAAATTAGACTGGCAGCAATTACGAATAGATGATGCGTCATGAATGCCAGTCTAGCGAAGGAAAGTATAGCCATTATCAGTGCAGGGTCTTTACCTCCCACACGAGACTGGTAAGTACAAGCGCAGCTTGAAGCGTCAAGTGCTATCAATTTATGCAATGTCTTCACTAAGGCGTTGCTTAACGAGTAGCTCCTAACTAGGTCGGTAACTCAGCATAAGTATTCTGATGACATACTGTTGCAAACCAGGACTGAACGCCTTTCTGATACTCACCACTGTCAGGTGGAATAGCACCTGTCTTATTTTGTGAACGGAAGAAAGGATAACACTGTTCCCCAACCAATAAACAGTGTAGTCAACACAGAACTTCCCGAAGAACCCACATGAGTGGTGGGTTCATGACGCACGGTTACGACTGAGCGGTGGCCTCACGACGCACGCTTACGACTGAGTGGTGGGTTCATGACGCACGCTTACGACAAGCGGTTCATCTGATCCACATGTATGTGCAATATCACCACGCAACTACCCGAGCAAACCATTTGGCTTAAACTCTGTTAAAGTGCGCTAAAATCTGTCAGGGTTCTAACTCGATCAAGAACTACCAGCAGCCTGGGAATCGGGCGACCCGACACGGCGTGACGTCACAGGGCTAGTAGGATGTCCCAGAGGTCATGAGACTTCCGAGTGATCGGGGCATGAGACGACGATCTGCCGAGGTGATGTCGCTGCGGAAAAATTGCGATTTGTTCCAGCACAAGTCGACGTATAGTCTTTAACAGATGCAGTATACAATAATAAAGCATTGCTTTAAAGACTTGCACAAGCACATAGCGCCTCTCAATCGTTGTGTACGTGTTATCAAACTGTGTGTAACTAACCGGACTTCATTTTCACGCCAGCATTGTTGGTCATGGACTAACGAACCCCAACGTTTGTGGTTAGGACTATCAAAATATCCGGCAAATGTCACGTGTATGGCTGTATCGGCCAACCTTCCACCCGTATTCGTAATCCACTGACTGATCTAATCCGAGTTTATCTTTAAAAAACTCATGTGTTTTTCTGGCTCGTGGTCCGTAACGCTTCCTGGCCTATACACATGTACAGTAACTGAATGATTTTTCTTTCTGTTCATCAGATTTACAACTGAAGTGTATTGGTGGCATACCGCTTCGTTTGAATGGTTTTGCAGTATACCACAATCCATGAAGAGACGCACACTCATTGCCGACATTGTCTGGACCACCTGAAATACGTAGCTCAATTAATAGTGTCATGCAGTTGGCAAAATATGCTGGCAACGTTTTTTTTTATTTGATCATTTGGCATCCTAGAAAACTCAACACGAAATGCATCCTTTAGTATGATCTTGATTCGGTTATGATTGCCTCTCTCGTGCGCTCCCCTCATATTTTCCGGGCGCCTCGCTTACTATTTCAGCACGTGTTCATCAAATCGGAACAAGCAATGATCGACGTCTCTGACCTGACATCCAGATAGAATGAAATGCATGCGGGACGAATATACGTGGAACGTTAAAACAGCTTGTTAAGCGTGAAAGCAAAAATCACGCCATGAGAGACAATAACCACAGTGATGGACAAACATTTGCGGACAAATGACGCTTCCGGCGGCCTCTGTAAGGACAGGGGGGGGGGGGGGGGGCGAGTGTAAGTGTTACGATTTGGAGACAAATTCCAGATGAGAGAATCAGTGACGGTCAGTCTGCTCAAAACCGGCCGCCACTGAAGTATGTTGCTAGCATATCCACCTCCGCTGCGTTCTTTTCCTGCCAGTCAATATGGTTTTCGCCATACTTTTCACAGAGGTGTAGACGAATTCTTTTTGCCAATGCCGATGAGCCCGCCATCAAACGAAAGGTTGATTTAGCATCTTGCGCCAATCTATCGGTCACTTTTTGTCTAGAGATACCAAGCTCCATGGCCAACCGCGTCACGCTTTCTTGCATCGTTCGTCGGAAATCTTCCGACTTTCAAGCCTCGAGGCGCACCTCCCGGACTGAGGACAGTCGTCGACGCGTCGGGCCCATAAGTGAAAGGTCATGCGTTCGTGCCTGAGTTGGTCCGGAGCTTCTCTTCCTGTTTTCTATATATGTTGGATTGTATGCTAACAACAGACGCACCCTGTCGGTGTTACGCAGTATTCAGTTCCTAGAGATCTTGTTACAAACATCCTGGACATAAGAACGCTTGAACTCGAAACATTTTCACTGTTGTAACATTGGCAACATGCTTCCTTTAGCCTTCAGCTAAAGCCTGCGAAATGCATGAATGAAAACTACATTTCTGCGACACAATTGCATGACTAGTAGATTTATAGTATAATACAGAAATCTTAGTTCTTGATTTGGTATACCCGTCATCTATTAGCCCGGCCAAGAGAAGAAGGCGCGGTCCCGTATCAAACTTTGGTCCTGTACCGACACGCGTCTTTCGGGGCGTGTCTGCGTGCAGAAACAGGAAGGTACCTTGCTGTCATTGGCTTATGACGGCCTGCTGACAAAAGCAGAATAGAGAAACTTACATGCATCAAGACGAGACAAAATCTCCTTGGCGTTGGACAGCCTCGTATAGCCAGTGTATGATCGTGTTGCCCTTGAATAATGTTGCATGACCTTTGTCTGAACTAGACAGGGCAACACCAGCACACCGATCCCTGAAAACAGAAATGTCCAGTTAAAAGTTGTCCCGGGATGCAACTTGACATACTTGGAGGCAGAAATGCCTCAGCGCTTCAGTTTCTTCAAATGCTGAACTGGTGTTTTCGTTACTTTTTCCTGTAGTGATCTACGATTCAATTTGGAATTTGCTCAACGTGCATCCGATCTTTAAGCAGCTGCATCATTATGTTTTAGAACTAAAAAGACCAGCTAGCGAAAACTGCGTGACTAAATTTGTATTTTCTACCCTGTCCTATGGAATGTGAAGAAGTGACCACACACTCTTGTGATCGCAAATAAGTACCGGGTACAAACGAATGCATAATAAATAACAGAAAACTACTCATTCTCTTTTGAAGTGTCTTGAAGGGGTTGTGACTGATACAGATGTCGTCAAACTTCATTCCTCTAAACTACAGTCATTGTTAGCACAATACGTTCTCGCTTACTTTGCTGTGCGAACCGGTGGCATTGTTGGAGTCTGTAGCTTCGGCGCCAACGACGTCACGTTGAATCGTATCCCATTAGTGTGAAGTGGTTCTGATAAGCAAAGGCACGTACCCAGAATTTTTCTCAGAAAAGGGGTGCATATTAAATTTGATCTGGACTCTTGCGCACTTCGACTGGATTTGAACGAAATCACACAATATATTGTGCAAAACTCCTAGCTCAGGAGAGCCATGGGCGCCGTGGCCACCCAATGGCTACGTTCCTGAGTTAAAGCCTATTTGGTGTGGATCTCATGGATCATTTATACAGATCACGCGGCCAGACTGCCCGCGCAACGCTGTTCTTTGCGCCTGGACATCAAATAAATATCATTTGGTTGGGGTTCGTTCTTGTCATGCTGCGTTAACACCCATAATTGTCACCATCGGTAAAGCATCGCCTCCAGCTGCATGAGATGGATCTGCGTTTTTGAAGATTTCAGTGGCTTGGAGCTAAAAATTCGAGTTTCCTGATAAATCAGATTATGACAATCAAATGCTTGACCCCTGCGTGTCGAGACGCTATTGTAATTGTTGCTCGAGCTTTGTGACTTGTTTTCAATGGTCTGGCCTTTGCACACTTTGTTTCTTCTGCATCTACAAACAACTTTCTGACTGCCTAATGTAAAAAACGCCCTTCTCGCACGCGCTGTGACCAACGCCGGTATCGGACGGGCGCCATGTTATGTTGCAGATCTTCTTTAAGATTGAACACGTATGCGCAACTTTTACCACAACCCGTGCCGCCGTCTGCATTGCGCGGCTAGCTTAAGTAATGTGGAAGGCAAACAGACGTGTGGGTGGAAAGTTGTGAATTAGATAACACACAGTTTTAAATCGTGCAATAAGTGCCATAACAACGACATTGTTGTCCCAATGGTCTCTTTCATCGCGTCACGATTTCACCCCTCCACAGCCTAAAATATTGCCTTGATTTCGACACGGATGGCAATGGGAGCGGCTTCCGGAAATGTTCATGACAGTGCAGTGCACAGTGCATGCAGACAGGCAATGCACTCTGGAACAAAATGCAGTTTAACGAGCAAACATCTGGCGAAAAGTGACACGTCATATGCATCTGGATAAATCGCTGTAACTTGCGGCGCGGGCGCGGCGTGGGGGGGGGGGGGGGGGTCAGAGGGGTAGTTGCTTCAACTGTTAAATGGCAGCGGGCATGTGTATGTTTCTGCCCCTTCAAAATTGTGGCAGGCTCCTTTTACCCAAGCTGAATGATTTCTTGTCCCACATATTTTACCGAAATATCACATTAAGGAGATCCCCATAACTTAACTAGGGGTTGCTAGCTTAGGCTTACAAGACCATTTTTGCATTAAGGAACCCGTTTTCTGGTCTAGAAAGACTCATGTCGTCTCAAGGAGGCCACGTTGCTGGTTCGACCTATTTTGGAGCCGAATTCTCCTTTTCCGGACTAGTAGGCACCATTTACATATCAGGAATCTCCTATTCCAGACCAGGAGACCCTTTTGACGTGTCAGACCACTGCCCCGGATCGGTATGCCGTATTTTGGGAAAGCGAGGCCTTTGCCAGCTTTAGAGGGACCTTTGTGAATCGGAAGGGTCCCGTTCTGGATTAGGAGGTCCCTCTATGTATCAGAAGGCCCTGTTACGACACGGGCTAGGGTGGGAGGTCAAATTGACCCTGAGGGTTTTCCAGAATGGTTTTTGAACAGCGAGGTGTAGCCTCGCCAAATGTTGCATAGCTGAAGACAATTAAATAGTGGATCGTTTGGTATCAACAATTTAGATGCACCTTGTAAGGTCGCTGACCTATGGCAGTTCAAAGTCAGGTCATGGTTTCAGCGAAATTAACTCCTAGGGATTTGTTCAATCTGATCCAACAACGGAGTGTTAAACGAAGCAAAATGTCTCTAAGATGCTTTCTTTGTCAACACAAATATTGAATGAGTAAATTACGTTGACCTAAGTTCAGGTATGAAAGTCAGACCAAGGTGAAACCCAGCCTGTTTTATTACTCTAGAGCTTGCTGTATGAGATAGTTCCTTGTGGTCATTTCAAATTTGTTGATGGTGGGAGCCGCATTCTACATCTTTCATGGACTTCTTGGAGGCTAGAATAGGTCACTGATCTAAAATGACCCAGGTCAACTTCTTTTCTTAGAAAGATGCTGCCTAGCGTGATCTTTGTTGCTTATTCAACTGCAAAACTCAGGGGGTGTTGTATGATTTTGGTCATCATGGCCTTTAAAAGGTCAAGCAAGGTCACTGACCTGAAATGAGGATGTGACCCTTTGCTTAAAAACAGTCATCAACTTTCTGGGGGCATTTGGGTGACCAACCAGAAATTCGACCTTGTTTGACCTTGTTTGACCCGAAGGTCATAACCTAGGAACCTCAAACTTTGACCTAAGTGATTTCATGTATAGGTCAACACACTCTGTAACTTTGGTGTTTGTAGCTTTCTTGGTTCCAGAGATTTCGGCGGGTCAAGTTGACACCCCACCCCACCCGGGTGAAGGGCATCCAGCCGGCCATAGACGCGCGATAGAACTGGAGGTCCGTCTTGAGATAGAGCGGCCCTCTACTGGGTCTTTAAGCGGGATCGTAGTGTGGCGAGAGAGATCGGCTCGATGGGTGCCTTCGCCAAGGCTTTCTTGCAAGAGAACAGCTCGACGGGGGCCTGACCAGCGGACTCCTGTTGGCCCGCAACGGGCAGCGGCGTCCGACCCTTCACAGTCAATAAGCATCAAAATGTAGGTCGAAGAACAGAAAACGTGAACAGAAAAAGTCTGCTCTTCCTCGTCTGCATCCCAATACTATGCCTCCCCTCTCCTTCCCTCCCCCGTCGTACGCCTTCTTCTCCTGAAGCACAGTCTGCATGATTATGAGCCCGGCGCGTGGCGCTACTTAAAGGACCAATTAGTGGAACGTTTCGGGGGCAGGATGGACACGGTTAGAGGGCTGGGGTTGCCAGGGTATAATAGGAATAGGCAGAGGTGCGAAACTGAAACGGATCGCATTACATGTAAGGTTTTTCACTGGCACTATCGCGGGCGGGAGGTATATTGCGTGAGTGTAGACGAGCGCCGTGTACGTAGATGTGTGAATGGGGATTAGATTTTAATGCATTAGGCTCATGAACAAGTGTTGGTCTTAAGATAGGAGGCACGAATCCAAGCGAGTAATCGACGGGCGCAAACGAACCGTAATCATCTCGTGTAATTAGATCGGGATAAGATGCGTCAGTAAATTAGAAGCCTGCGCGAGTATCCACACAATATTAGGTTTGAACATGGACTTAGCTAGTTGGAACGTATTATTTATTCGCAGCGCACGCAGTCCTTGACGTAAATCTGCTGTAAAACATGCACTTCGAATCTCCATTAACCGGATGACTGGCCAAAGGTTTGCGGAAAACTAGGGTCAAGAATGACAGACTTATTATATTTCACACGAAGCCGGTTAATTGCAATACGCATAGCTATTGATGTAACTGGGTGAGAGAAATGACGAATGTTGCACACTGTTCTTATATCATCTGTCACTAATTTCGGCAAAAGCATACATTGTGATGACTTATGGGCGCCGTTGATTTGGATAAAACATGCAGTTGTTTGCTTGCAATGTGCACCGTTTTTAATATAGGTTTGATGGAAAATAGCGTGCACCGCAACAAATTATATGTCACCGAAAGCTGGGATCAGATAGGACTGCCTGTGAATCAGTACGTAGGCTTTACCAGTATGGGGATGAATTTTCTGATTATTGGTCTCTAGCCTAACTGATTCATTGCGCATTTCAAGCACACAGGTTCGGTTGGTTCTAAATGCACTTCATGGAGAAAGAGCTTACTTCCATGTCTACGCTGAAGCAAGTTGATTATTCATCTGGAATTCCGTTTCAGTACTTAAGTAATTTAATTAACGAGCATATGGCAGGACGTCAAACGCGGCATGAACGCAGCGACGTGAATTTTTCAGTTCTTCGCTGTGTGGCTCGTTCAGTACAAACAATTCAATTATTCTGAAGCATTTCAGCTGCGAGCTCACTCCTGCTAAGAGTTAGTTGGACTTATCGAAGCGTCAAGTGCGGCGTGCAGATGAAGAACAACTATGCCTGAGCTCATGACTATTGATGAAGCAATCGCCTAACACTGCACGACAACCTGAGCTTTACTTGTCCAGAAGCAGGTCATCACGTGAGGGGCAGATGCTGAGGGATGCCATAAGTCACGTGCTGTGTTGAATCAAGTGTGGCCGACATAATGAGCAAGTTTACGTCCATACAAACCAGGCCAATAAGAAGGAACAGCTGACTCAACCGGCCGGTCATATCGTTCAAGTTTGCTTTGTTCATGTCAGCAATCTGATCAGATATCACATGTTTGCCTGTCGATGGTCACAAAATAAACAAACCAAACTTCGGTCAGGTGGACTGGGAGCAAGATTGAAATAGCTCCTAAAAGATGGCTTAATGCCGTGGAACCCGTCCGCAGCGGTGGCGATTGCAAAATATACCAACATTAACGCACAATGAGCAGTTTATTTAATATGAAGGATTGCCCGGTGATGGACTCAAACGAAAACAAAACACCGCCCTCACAGAAAGACAAAGAATGATTTAGCAATGGAGCACACTGGCTCGCATAAGTGGCTTCACATATACAGAACGGCATCATGTATTTCCACATTCCTTCATATACATCTCCATTTCCGTGCTGAGGAAGAGGATGGCTAACTTCTATACTAAAAGGAATCCAATGAAGGTTAAATATTGGGCATTACAGATAAGAGCATCTTTACTAATATTTGCACTTTGTTGCCGATTTGGAGAGAGATGAGCTCAGGAATGATGCCAGAGGCCTTTAAGTGCATTACCTTGTCGATGACCACTATACGATAAGCACGAATCAAGATGGCATCCCTGCAATGACATATCGGCACCTTTTCGGGTTCTGTGGCGAAGGCCGTAATACGCCGGGTCCCAATTTTAAGGGTCGTGCGTTCAAAGCCAGGCCGGCCAGAATCCGTTTTGTCTGGTATCTATGGATTATTTTGCACCGATTGCTCATGACCTAATCACGTTATCAGTTAAATGCAGCATTTAATTACTTGAGAGTTTTTGCGTAAAAACTGTGGGCATGACAACCTCTCAACGTCACGCGGCGTGACATCATAGGGTTCGACACACACGTCAGCGGACGTGTGCGTCTTGTCAGTTACCCTGAAAATTATGAATTGGGCTTTATCAAACCAGGCACAACCTTCCTGTTGCCAACGCACATTATAACTTGGATTTGAGTGCAACGTAATGATGACGAAATTCGGGAGTGATGTACAAATGGGAAGCACGTTGATCAGCCAACGTCACAAATTATTGAACGTTAATGTCGATGTGTGGCGGCCATTCCAGCTGGCTTTTGAAATGCCTGCTCTTGAAAGAAACAAACATTCTCTTAATGTTGTAAGGTTATCGGGGATAAGCCAAAGACACAAGGGGGCGGGGTGATGCATGGGATTGCATGTAAGTTGATCGATCATAAGGACCAGCTGAAGCAACGGCAGCATAGGGTAGGGATGGACGAATTAAAATTGCATCTAAAGCCAGCTTATGTCGAAACCGAAGACAGGCTCGGGGAGAAGGCGGAAAGCTCGAAAGTGCGCTCGAGGCCTAAGGGTTGCCAAACAGGTGGGGCAGGGGAAGAACCATTCCACGGACTCCTCTCGGTATCATGATGCCCCTAATCTCAACCCCACCCTCCGTCCCAAACAGTGAAGTACCTATGTGTCTCTCACATACTTGGCCAGCCTCACACTTGCATATGGTTTGGAAGGAACGCGGAGTGCAGCACATAACTGAGTGCAGTTTTCTTTGCAAGACGGCCAGGCTGCCTGGACATATGAAGACATTCTTAGCACCAAATGAAGGGGAGTGTCGTCAAAGTACTTTCAATGTTCTTTCAAGGCACGAAAGCTCTTGCAAGAGGATTTTGGAAAATGTTGCAAGAGTTACAGAATGCTTCACGAGAGGTTTACTGCTTAATAAATCATGATATCACTTCAAAACCACCCTCGGTGTTCTCGCTAAGCATTCAAGAAGGGAGTGAAATTTCCAAACTGTTGCAAAAAATTGCAGAAGATGGCAAGAGTGATTTACACCAAAACGAAGCGTCATAGAGCCCTAGGACCTCTTGCATTCTCCTCACAAGGTCCGAAAGCCTCAAAGAACCAAATAAAAAAATGTTGCAAACTTGCACGAAAATTGCAGACAATGTTGCAAAGCGCACGCAACCCGCTGCAGCGATACATATCAGTCATGCATGCATCACAGCCCGAATGCTCTGATTGGCATTGCTGGGATTCGAAGGAGTCTTTTTCGCGAGTCTAGTGCGCTACTGGTTGAGATAACTAGGGAGGACAATCTTTCAGCGTTAGGGCATAATAGCATGATGGTAAAAGCATAAAACTTGGAAGGTTGTTTTCGGCTCACTGATGGGATTATCAACCAACGTCATGCGTGTAGTCTCCTTGATCTTCCAGGCTTTCCAGGGTTGCTCGCTGTCACCAATGGTCACTTCATCCCATGCTGGTCGGTGATTGTCGTTCGATCACGCTCACTCAGCCGAACCAAACCTCTGAGTCTTTCACAGGATGGTTGTCATTCTGTGCTCTTCCAGTGTGTTTCACCGACAGAGGGCGACTTGTCTCCCCGCTTTCACCGACAGAGGGCGACTTGTCTCCCCGCTTTCACCGACAGAGGGCGACTTGTCTCCCCGCTTTCACCGACAGAGGGCGACTTGTCTCCCCGCTTTCACCGACAGAGGGCGACTTGTCTCCCCGCTTAAACTTGAGCTGCATATGCAATATACCATGCAGCTGTAACAGGTCCTACAATGTGGCGGCAAGTCCGCCTTTGTCGGTCAGGTTGAAAGAGCACAGAGAGGTAACCCTCCTGTAACTCTTCACCATCGCCAGACTCTGGGGTCTGGTGCGGCAGGGCACACGTGGTCAGACGGCGATCACGTGGGATGAAGAAATCTTCGGCATGGGATAAAGTAACCATCGTCGACAGCGAGCAACACTGGAAAGCCGGGAAGATCAAGGAGGTAGCACACATGACATTGGTTGACAACCCCATCAGTAAGCCATTTGCAGACATCAATTTACTATGACATCCAGTTCTGCGGCAAAATGACCAAATATCCAGAATACAAATATGATCAAGGCAGAGCGCCAGGCGATCGTCCCTACCGATCAGTTCAGTCCGAAGAGCACTGGACTCGCAATGGCGAAGATCCTGGTTCGAATCCCAGCAATTGCCAGGAAAGTATTAGGGTTGTGACGGATTCATGGTTGATAGCCAAACATCAGCCAGGCCTTCTCAGTACTCCATAACACCTGGTGACGGCTGCAGAGTTAACTGGCTGAAACGACGTGCACAAACTATCACACCAGGGGAGAACGACAGAGCGAGCACTCATTCCATCCGAGTGTGAATGCAGCTACAGATGATCAGGCTAATTCTGGAGCGGACTCAGAATTGTTGGAAGTCCAGGCAATGGGCCATGAAAACATATCCAGCGTCTGGCCGTGCCGATTTCATACTTACAGACAAATGCAGGCAGTGTTCCACGTTTGTTGGACATTTTGACCACGTATGGTACCAACAGCACCCAATCTGTGAGACCAGATACAGTCAGTCATTACGCATTACTGATGTAGCCCATGCTATTTCCTCATCCGCCTCCATAAACATCTATCTCCTCGTAGACCTGAATTAAGTATTCAACCTTCAAAATGGCGCTCATTTCTCGTCCTATTCTCCGGCAATATAAATCTTGACTAAGAGGTTTAAGCGCTGTTCCCCCACCTTTCAGTGCAGAAAATAAGGCTTGATGTGACATATGCAAAGGTGATCGCGCTGTTTTTCCCTTGCTCTGCACCTCACCTCATTACATAGTGCTACCTGGTCAGCAGGAATGAAAGGAATAATCTGCCCATTTGAAGATATGTGCCTACTTCTTTAAGCCGGTTATTGATTTTGCGATGCATCAATAAGGTATACACATATGTATATTCATATATACATATACGTATATGTATATATATACATATATATATATATATATATATATATATATACACATGTGTGTGTGTGTGTGTGTGTGTGTGTGTGTGTGTGTGTGTGTGTGTGTGTGTGTGTGTGTGTGTGTGTGTGTGTGTGTGTGTGTGTGTCTGTGTGTGTGTGTGTGTGTGTGTGTGTGTGTGTGTGTGTGTGTGTGTGTGTGTGTGTGTCTGTGTGTGTGTGTGTGTGTGTGTGTGTGTGTGTGTGTGTGTGTGTGTGTGTGTGTGTGTGTGTGTGTGTGTGTGTGTGTGTGTGTGTGTGTGTGTGTGTGTGTGTGTGATGGTGTGTATTATGTGGATAAAACTTAAAAGGTATCTTTTGTTAGTACCACATTCAGAGTGATTGCGAAATATCTTTTCACGGTGATATAGGAATTCAGCGATGCGTTATGGAATATATCAAAATAAATAAGGCGGGTGCGGCGGCTATTGTGTGGTGTAGATAAGCATTTATTTGTAGCACTTTTAAGAGGATATGAAGATAAGATAGTACTATTAGCCTTATTCCTGGGAGAAATACCAGGAGAATGGAAATATAGTTGGGTGCATATCGTTACAGCCCAACTATATCTCCATTGTCCTGGTTTTTCTCCGATGAATAAGGCTAATACTACTGTCCTATCTATGTGAATAACGTTCCTTGCTAATGCACTGAACAACTTACGGGATTTGAAGATACTGAAGCAACCATCATGTGCAATGAAACAAGCTAACTTAAAACTATTGTTATATACTTTAAGTGAAAAAGACCGCTCTAAACAGCGCAATGCTCTCTTTAGCAAATGTGCTCATCAATGCCTCGTGGTTTGAGCACGTCATCGTACCTTCACAACATTGTTTGGGAGCCAGTTGACGGCCGTTATATCTGGAAACCACGCTCACGAACACCAAATGTGAACGCCCCGACACTATATTTTTGTTTTTGGCCTTGATCGCCACATGACTCTTGGCAGGAGTTCAATAACGTAATTATGCCGTCATAAATACCAAGGTGACTTTGAAATCCCTTCCCCGATATTCATTTCCCTATTTTAGCGGGCGTGCCGCTCAGAAACTAGAGGGGGGTATGGGTCTTAATAAGGCAGGAACGTGAAAAGCACCAAAAAGTCTTCAAGATGGCGTTTTCAGTTCAAAATCCGGTGAAAATGGGGAACACTCCCTTTCAACTCACCGATAAATGTACAAAAAAAAACGCTACAAAGGGGACAGCCCAAGCACCTAACAATATTTGGTTCAGCACACATTCGGCACAACCCGGCCACCTCTCGGGAGATTGAAGAACTACGGGTGAGTGCTGTCACACGAACGTTCCATAACACAAACGTTGTTTACACGCGCCAACCACGTGGCAACATCGAGCACAGAGCCAAGTGCCGATTGCGCCTGGGCTCTCGACACTCCCCCGCGTGCCGTACCTGGGAGCACCGATGGGCCGACTGGCCGAACGCCCGGGCTCTGCCAATGACGGACGGAGGGCGTGACTGGGATTTGTCCAGGTCACCCGATTTCTACGAAAGTGCAAGTCGGGCTGTCAATTCCCACGTGCGGCCTTTTGCCGCGATGTCAAACCCGCCCACTGCCGGCCGGCTGCTTGTTGTTAGGTTCGGTTTGCGTTTTTGCGTTGGTGCTGTGAATCATTGGCTCGATTGAGACTGAAGCTAGTGATCCCTGATCCCGGCTTAATGCCTTAATTCCGATCCCGCTGCTAAAATGGTCGTTGCTACTGAGTAAATCAATCACAACATGTCCCAAATAGTACTGAGGGATCCCCGCACCGCAAGACAACAAGCCGGGGACCAACAAGCCGGGGGCATGCTAGTGCTACTGGCGTTAGGAACTCTCCATCGTTTAGCTTTGGACTTATCGCCAAGAGCGATTATTAGATGTGCAAATGATTGTTTGAATTGTCTTTTAGCCCTAGACTATACGAAAACGCAAGGTGATCGTCGTCGTCTCATTTCCCTGCTTCCCAAGACATGGCACGATTTTTAGGACGTTTCCTAAAACGTTTTTAGGTCACTACTTCCACGTTTTCCCTTCATGGCTCATCAGCCGTTTGCATTTGCTTTTGTGTGAGCCATTTTGGTGTGAAAATAAACTCCTGACGAATACCCTAAGAAAAGCGTCATAACCGTGAATGCAAGTAAATACCTTCAACTCTCGGGTTTATATGCCAGAGCACCACGAAAAGGGCCTAAACACGAGCACGTACCGATATTTGGTTCAGCAAAAACCTCCAGCACCGCTATGGCCATCCTTCGGGAGATTGAAGCACTAAAAGTGAGTGCCAGGGTGGCAAGATCGCATAGCTCGTTTCGCAGCACCTCAGCGTCATACAATAGTCCCAAGACGTAATCAACCAATGACGCATTGAGGAGCATATGTACCAAATAGAGAAATTTTGCTGTCTAGGACAGTCTTTTCCACTAAAAGTATACGAATAGTTATTGGTGAGTTTGTTTTATGGGGTCAGATGCTTGCTTCAATGTTTTAGAATGCAGAACAGTCCCCTTAAACTCATTCAGCTGATAGAAAGCCAGCTGTTGTCCGTTCATCCAGCGATTCGCGCTGCCGTGCTCCAGACACGAATAAGTCTATGGTCATATTCATATTGACCCTTAAAAAAGTATGCCGATTAATGAGAGGCGAAATTCTTGTGACGCGTTGATGACGTCATGAGTGACGTGCATTTATGAGGGCCTTCAAAAACGGTGGCGCGTAGTTACTGGACATCGTCAATAGTCCGCACAAGTTACTGGGCATAGCTGTGAACTGCAGGGAATGATCTTGCCTTGCCTTGCTCTGGCCGGGCCCTGTAACGTCCTACCATAGTAAGGTTCTACTATCTGCTAACATGCTTGGGTATTCTTTATCAGTCAACGGCCTTCCACGGATTCTTCCTTAATCCTTCCACGGATTCTTCACATTCACCCGAAAGGCTCTAAGCGCTATTGCTGTTGCCATGTATACCGGGATGCACTCGGTTGCTCAGGGGCTTTTCATACTGGCATCAATTTTTTCCGCTTGCTTGGAGGGTCATGTGCTGTTGCTAGGGCCCATGTAACGAAACACACCAAGGCAATTGATGACCAGGGGTCCTCTGCATCGACCTAGGGCTCTTTCCCTCTGGCTCATTTGCGGAGGACCCATCACTCCTATCTGAGCTTTTTCTGTTAATCTGTCCGGGCACTCTTGATCGCACAGGACATTAATTCATGTACACTGGCCTTGGGTTATTTCTCCTCGCTCAGAGAGTCCTGTGCGTTGGCCGGGCCCTGTATGTTAGCCTGTCGGGGTACTCCCAAACGTTCATGGGCCCCGCCATATCGGTATTAGTCAAAGGTTCTTCTCGCTTGTTCTGAGGACTCCACGCTCTCGACTTAAGCCTCTTTTCTAGCCTGCCGCAGCACCCTCGATTGCTCAGGTGCCGTCCTCATGGGTCTAGGGTTTTTCATATCACAGGAGGGCTTACGCCGTTGACGAGGACCCAAATCTTTACAATAATTAGTACAGATCAACGTTTCATCAATTGACGGGGGCATTTCGACAGGATGTTTATATAAGGCATCATGTGGAGTGCGGTGGTGGCGTGGCCGAGGCCCGAACCCCAGACCGATAAGTCCAGAATCGAGCACCCTAACCGTCATCTCACCGTCACCATCTAACCCGAGCGTGAATCGGCCGGGGCACTTTTGGTCACCCCTGTGTCCTCCACATTGGTCGTGGGCTATTCCGATGGAGTAGGATGAGTATTATTATGTTGTCGAAAGCCCCGCGCGTGCTTGCGAACGCCAGGGCGTTTCGCCTGCTCGTGTGTACGCGCCTGACTGAATTACTTCATGTACTCACGCCAGAGATGACAGGATGACGGTTCCCTTGACGCCTTAACCTTAGAGCAGCAGTCGGGTATGCGCCGATGATTTTTTACGCGTAATTGTCGAGCATAATTGTACGCGTCGCCGACGTCGTGCATGTCATGTCGGTTGTTTATTACATTTGTGACACTTGTGTGAAATTATGATGCCTGTGTATTACGTTTTTAATGCACTGGATTCTAGGACATGGTTTACCCTTTTACATTGGCTGGAGAAAAAACTCTGCATTTGTAATCAACCATCAGCTGATCACACTGACTAGCCGGACAGACGTAAATAAGCTGAGAAGTAAGGTCGTGCCTGATTTGAGCGATATTCGGTAGCCAAATTCAGTGCAGTTTACCATCTGGAGAAAATGAACAAGCTCTATGCATGTGCATACGCAGCGCGCCTATCTGTCTAAGACTGCGTACAATTAGATGGGTTCCCGATAGCAGACATAAGAATCTTAGAGCTCAACAGCGAGAATACGAGGATTTTTGAGGGAGATTATCCCAAACTCTAGGGGCGCCACAATGTTCCGCGGCCCCCCTTACGAAATCCTGGATACACCCCTGGGTCTGGCTGGAACATTTGGGCAGCGAGGAATCCAAGAGACTGAAGAGCAGTCTTTTAACTACACCTGCATGGAATAGAACTTAAACGGCGTAATTGCGTAGCTGTCTTCGTGCTCTGACTTCTGGTAATGCGACTTTCAATCCTAAGATAAGGGCAAAATGTCCCTCCGATTGGCTCGAAGTGTGGTGTTGTTTGTCGGTTTCATGCCTTCTCCACATGTCTTAGTATTCACCTCCCCTTAGCGTCTGCAGCGCCGTAAGTTCGCCCGATATAGGCAACGATTTTTTCATGACTTTATTGGCGCATGCGATTGGCTTTTGCCCATTCTTGGGATCGGGTTATTTTGGAAAATGCCCCTGTTACGCTGAAATCCCGTTAGCAAATGACCTTTTTTCTTGGGAGGAGTGGCCAAGAAAAATGCCCTTTTTACGGCCGATTCCTTATTTCCGACTGAAATGGACCGCTTTGTCGTAATGTTGCTGTATATGGTATGTTGTGCTGGTAGAGGTTCACATTTTTTAATGTTTCAAACCATGTCTCACTTATCTGCTTTTCAGTTAGAAACTTAAAAGCATGGTAGCAGGATTAAGGTGATCAGCCACCCACAGTGCTCATTGATGATCTTTGTACACAGCTTTTGCCGCTGTTATTGACCACCATTTGGTAACCTTTTCAATAGCATCACAATGAATTGTATCTTGCGTAGGTTACAAGATAATGGGGCAGGACCAATCTAATTTAAAGGCTTTCCGCATACGCAAATACGCAAAAAAGTGAGGCGCATGGTGAGTATCTAATTTACGTAGTTGATAATAAGTGGCATTTGCAGCAAAAACTGATTATTCCACTTTTCTGCCTGCCTTGAAAAACAACGTAATTGCCTAAATCACTCTAATACACTGCTTATTTCAGTGACGAGACACTGCTCGCCTACCGTTCATCTAGATTACTTTAATACCATGCTTACCTTTATGACACCCTACTGTCCACCAGCCGTTTAAAATAAATGCTGCATCATCTCTAGTCGAACCTTTGTCTTTGATCTGGGCTACAAGAAACTTGGTACACATTTGGTATGAATTTCGCCCGTGGTTATTCATCCCACAACGTGCGAAGAATGCAGGTTGGGGTTGGGCAATTTGTGCCTGATTTTGGGCGTCGGGAGTCGAAACCTAAATACCATAAATGACTAGTGTTGAGCCTTTTCAAAGGCTGATCTTCGGGCCACATTTTAAACCTCGTCCCAGGAATGTTAGAAGTGAATAATCGGCAGCTTTTCCTTTGCTTCATTTCATTACAGCAAGGATCTTGTTTCCATGATAAGGACCTCAGTTGTCCTCCGAGGCTCCCCTAAGGCTGTAATGGCTTAACAAGGGTCGCTTGCATGGGTCGAGCGAAAGCCTTTTTTAAACTAAACGCGTGGCGTTGCGGCGCAATCTGTTTGGTATCTTTCTTTTTACCAGCAGTTTTCTCTTTGCGCTGCAATAGTTCTGCAAATTTTGACCTTTACATGGACGCTGCAATTTCTAGTATGCAATATTTGTATTTCCATCATGGTAGCGTTTTGGTTAAGCGTTGAATCTAGCACAAAGCGTAAAAATGACAGCGGGCCGGTTGTGAAGGATCTGCTTGTATCCAGAGACCAGCTGTTGGAACTAGAATGTTCCCATTGTTTTGAGAAAAGGTAGGAAGCTCGTTTGCTTGTTCCCATCGCAACAGACGGATTTGGTGAGCCAAACAAGCTTCCGGTTTCACATGCCATGTAGCACAGTAGCACTGAGAGTACGGGTGGGATCACGACAATCGCCTTCTGGTCTTGTTTCGCGTATTGCGTAACGAGGGTAAAACTTTCCGTTCAAACACGGCCTTTCGAATCCAACACATCCCGAGCGGCCAAACCACTGTCAACTGTGCCCTTCCCTTCGACCGTAACGCTGACACCGCCGCGCGGGGGCGCCGCAGTTGCTTCGCAGCGATTTCGCTTCATGCGGGG